ATCCCCTCCGCCACTGCTGGTTGCTGCCAGGGCGCCCTCCCTTCCCCCCGCCCCCATCGTCGTCCCCTCCCTCTGCCCGCTGGCACGCGCCTTGGCTGGCCTGGTGCCACCTGCCAGCCCCACCCCCTGCCGACTGGTTGTTCTGCTGTTCGGTTGATTTGCATATTATGCTTTTATTATGTAGGAGAATATTTAGTGAGCATTTGATAATTGAATTTGGAAAAGCTTTTAGTTTAACCTTAGAAATCATTCTGTTCTCCAAAATCAAATAAAATATCCAGTATTTAACCTCCAGTCAGAACATTTGGGTGCGGGGTGGTTTGGATTGTCCCCTCACCCCCACCCCAGTCCTCAGGGTAGGTGAGTGCTGGCTGGTTTACCTGGGCATGGGGGAGGAGTTCCTGTGTGAGGGGTGTGGCTTAGCTGGCTCGCTCCTGCCTTTCTCTGGGATTTAGGGCTGTATTAGAGATGAATTTAATTTTCCTTGATCATCATCCTGACTATGACAAATAAGATCAAAGTCTTATAACAGCTGGAAATAGTGCCTTCTTTTCAGAGGTACAAGGCTGTTGTTTATCACTTGTTCCCAAACATTGAGGACTCACTGCTTCTGGCTTGAGTTTTTAATTGTGAAATAATTTCTTCAGTTAGTCAGTGCATGCCATTGTACTTCTTGTCTTCAGGGGGAAAAACCCACCACGTCCACATGAGTCATTGTGTCTAATCCCATCACAGGAAGTGAATGTGGTGCCCACTGTGTCAGGAAATGTCTCCCCCAGCGGTTTCCAGTCAGCAGCAGCCTGTTGTGCTGAGCTGATGAGCATAAACTGGAGTGAAAGGAGCTGGCTTGGTTGGAGATGAGTCAGTGTCTTCGATGATCACATGTTCTTATAGTTGGAAGACAAGAGTAGGGGATGGAGTGGGCCAGGAAAAAGAAGCCAGCTGTCAGCAACAACTGCTCCTGGAGAATTTGCTGATTGCTGGGCACCTGCTGTTTTAGATGCTACTTGAGCTAAGGAGGAAAAAAAGTGGAAAAGACGGAAGGGAAGGAGGGAAGGAGGGAGGGAGAGGGATTTGATGCTGTTGGGAGAACTAAAGGAAACAATTATTTGAAAATGAAGAAATGCTGAAAGGATGGCACAGTTGTTGGTCACGGGGCACGGGGCTCCCTTTGCCTTTGCAGAGCTGATTCTGTATTTACCATGTGCCACACAAGGCAGGCATTTATATACTCAGATTATAACTTGTAGTACATCGTGTTTATGCACAAGTTATGATGTGAAAATATTTGTGCTTACCCTAGTTAGTGTTAATTACGGATAATGGGTTGAAGCCCTTCTAAAAGTAATTAATCACCTTTGTAGAAGCACATTTTGGTTTTGCTACCTGGGATCTTCATCACAGCAGAATACAAGCATTACAGAAAATGCTTCCAGTTCTTATTCGGTTTGGTGTTGGAAAGCTAGAAGCTGGCATGCAGATGTTTGGCTCGCAAAGACTCAGCCTTACCTCTCTACCTCTCACCTTTCCAAATCTAAATGCCTGCTCGTACTCAGGCACACCTGAATGTCCTAACCTCCTGAGGACTCTGTCTACCTGTCTGTACTTCACTCCACCCTTCTCCACTCAACAATCCATGTTTTGGGAGGGTTCTCAAACTTCGTCTTGCTGCAGGAAGTTCAGCACAGCCCTGGTTGGGGCCAGTGATGGTAGCAAAGGTTTATTAGGCTTGCAGGTACACTCAGCCTCCAGCCATGGACCAGGAGAGCCTGTCAGCCAGGGGCCTGACTCTGTGGAGGTGTTCACTAGTTAATCCCTTCATCACCTCCTCTGACCTGACTTCTCAGGATCACCTCATCTTTACCTAAACCATCATCCAGTTGGTTTTTCTCTTATCCCCTCCCACCTCATTCAATAGTAATTAAGAATTGCTGATGTTTTCTGTGGAAGGGAAATCTGGGATTGTATTAGCAACCTCTTAAAAGGTCAGGGCCTTTTGAAGAGCTGGTCAACTCTTTGAGAGGGGATAGGAGGTAAATGAGGCACCACGTCTCAGACACCTGCTTATTGTTTCTGTGACTTCTGGTCATTCAAGCACTGGACTTTCAATCGTTCCTGTCCCTGAATGCTCATAAAGCATGAGTGTGTTTGTTAGAGCCACTCGGGGGTTTATGATTTTGTGGACGTGAGTTTATATTGGAAGTTCCTGGGATAATAACTGCAGCCCTCCTGGCTCAAAACTCTTGTGCTCGCTGCGGCAGCACATACACTAAAATTGGAACGATACAGAGAAGACTAGCATGGCCCCTGCACAAGGATGACACGCAAATTCGTGAAGCATTCCATAATTAAAAAGAAAAAGCTCTTTACAGCGGGCCACCGCAATGTCCGATTTCATCCTTTTATGGTTTGGCCTGTAACACTGCTCATATCCACAAGGACTTCACTCTGATCATGTCCCCCTCCTCCCCCCTCAAAAACAAAACCAAACCAAAACTCCTCTGTTTACTTTTCAACAGTTTTTGTGCTGAAAGCATTTAGTTTTCTAACAACTATTAGACTACATTTATTTTAGATTCCATAGAGGCAGAGGCAATTGTTCCTAATAATTTTGTAACGAAGTGACTAAACAATTTGTTTTATTGACTCTTAATCATTTCCTGTGCCCTGCCTCTGTGTGTGAGAAAGAGAGAGATTGGCTTTGGCTATCACCAGTTATTCATTTGCTTCCCGGAGGAGCCCTAGGTCCTGGTTCAATTTAGCACAGAATGACTCTTGTACAGAATGTGCAGACGCTTTTAGGGGAACTTTGAGAACTAATGAGGAATGGGCAACAGATAAAGTGCCTCAAACACATACTAATGAGGGCATGGGAGGCAGTGGAATCTGACTGTAGCATGGAGGGGAGGAGGGGTGTGGCCAGAGCTCCCACAGTCCTTGGAGTAGGATAGCACACTTGCCCCTCTTACAGATCATGCACAATCCATGCCGTTTCCCTCCCTGTGTCATCTGATGGAGCTCAGAATTGCTATGGAAACAGATGGGACCTCGCTGGGGAGAATCTCATTGAATCCCACTCTCTCACAGGAATCTCCTTGCTTCTTCTGTTGCTTCTGTTGCAGTTTACCTGGGGGTCCCACAAGCCTTAGCTGGCCTAATTTTTAAATGCAACTTGAGATTCTGTGAGCTGAGTTCCTACAATTTATGTTAACTTTGTTCTCTACTCAGGTCCCCAGCAGGAGGGATAACAATGTCTGAGTTAGATAGATAACAAGTTGGAGTTCCCAAGGTGGCTGATCAGACTCCTGGCTAATTGAACATATGCCCGAAAACTATGGCATTATCTTCCCCACATGCAATCCGGCATTTTACCTTTTTAAAAATACATGTGAAATGGTTCTGCAAATCACAGATTTCTCAACAATTAACTATGATTTTATTTCCCCAGCTAAATTGTTTAACAATGAAGAGACAGAGAAGGGGGCAGTAACAGGGTCATGAAAGGGAATTTGGGCGTGGTGACAGAGTCATTCAAAAAAGACAGGAGAGCCGAACTAGTATGGCTCAGGGGTTGAGCGTCGACCTATGAACCAGGAGGTCACGGGTTCAATTCCCGGGCAGGGCACATGCCTGGGTTGTGGGCTCAATCCCCAGTAGGGGGCCTGCCGGAGGCAGCTGGTCAATGATTCTCTCTTACCATTGATGTTTCTATCTCTCTTTCCCTCTCTGAAATCAATAAAAAATATAATTTTTAAAAAGATAGAGAAATTCTTATTCTCATATTCCTATTCTTTTTTTTCTGCCTAATTTTAATGCTTAACAAAATCCAGAAACCATCTACATGACTCAGTTATCAGACCAGCAGGATATCCTGGAAAAAGAACACAATCCTCTGAATAAAAAAGCAGGAGAAGGCCCAAACGTTCACCAGTAGGGTGGGTTAAATACACTTCAGTGCATTCAGGTTATAAAATAGAATGAGAACACTTTCTATCTACCAACATAGAAAAATCTCCAATATATTACTGTTAGGTGAGAGGGCGCGGGGGGCGGGGGGGGGGGCAGTGCAGCAAGTGTATAGAACATGCAAATATTTCTGTAAGAAAAGGGAAAATACGAATTAATTTTGTATTTGCTGTTATCTGCATAAAGAAACTGAAGGATACACAAGCCAGAAGTAAAAATGTTTATTTCTGTAAAAGATGAGGCAGAGGGTGAGTGGGAGTTAGACTTTATTATACCTTTGTATAGTATTCTAATTCTTGAATTATGACTGTATTATCTATTCAAAAATGAAGATAATTTTTTTAAAGAGAAGATGTACAGTGTTAGGTAAGGGATAAATGAAACCTGATCTTGTTTAAGCATATTACATATGTGATTTCAGCTATCAAGTTTTAACGGATGTGCCCTTTGGGATAGGGCAGTGGTTCTCAACCTTCCTAATGCCGCGACCCTTTAATACAGTTCCTCATGTTGTGGTGACCCCCAATTTCATTGTTACAAATTGAACATAATTAAAGCATAGTGATTAATCACAAAAACAATATGTAATTATACATGTGTTTTCCGCTGGTCTTAGGCGACCCCTGTGAAAGAGTCGTTCGACCCCCAAAGGGGTCGCGACCCACAGGTTGAGAACCGCTGGGATAGGGTCATTTGCAGGACCATATATTTTGAGGAGGAAGGTGATAATCCTAGAATTAGAACCTGTATGGCAATTTAAGTTCTAATCACTTTGGTAGGAAATTGGAAAGGCAAATCTGCATTTAAACTGTTTAGCTTGTTCTGACTTCTTGGATTTTTTTAGAAAAACCCCTCCCTCCCCCAAGTAATTGAAAACCTTAAAACATGATAGTCATGATTCACAGTGGAAATCTCTTGCTGATGCCTCGGTGAACACAGTGGGAAAGTGAACTCAAATTATGGTCTTAGCCTGTTTTTATTTAAGTTTGCATCCTGGAGAAAGTGTTGTATAGTCTGTGCTTTTATTTTTACAGGAGCAGAAAAATTCAGATTAGAAACATCCCTCCTCACCTGCAGTGGGAGGTAAGCCAGTGTCACTTCTGTTTTCACTGTCCTCTCGCTTTCCGTCCTCTTTTAGTTCCCTTTCACAGTTAGGAACTGGAGGTCCTCAGACTTGTCGCACCTTTCCCAGTGCCCTAATGTGCACGATCTGCCATGAGTTTGGGGTGGTGTCTGACCCTCTCATCATGCAGAATGTGCGAGTCGATCTTTCAGGTTCTGTCTTCTCAAGCACCAACAAACTTTAAAATAAAATGTATACCTGGTTTGTGATTTTTTAAAACTATGTTTCTTAAAATTGATTTCAGAGAGAGGAAAGGAGAGAGAGAGGGATAGAAACATCAATGATGAGAGAGAATCATTGATTGGCTGCCTCCTGCACACCCCTCCTGGGGATCGAGCCCACACCTTGGGCATGTGCCTGGACCGGGAATTGAACCGTGACCTCCTGGTTCATGGGTAGACGCTCAACCACTGAGCAACACCGGCCAAGCATGGTTTGTGATTTTTATCTCATGATTTTGTAAACAATTTTTAACTTTCTAAATTATGATTTTGAGGGGGGGGGGATCCATGCAAAACCAATAGTTTTGTTATTTTGAGCAAGTTTTTTGTTTATTTTGAATTAACTGCTATGAATAACAGTTAAGATATATTTTCTGAATTGTAAAACTTCTTATAAGATTGCTACCTTCAAATAAATGGACATATGAACAGACTGACAGAGGTCGGGGGGGGAGGGGTGGGAGACTGGATAAATGAAGGTGAAAAGAGTAGCCAAAGAACATACATGCATAGCCCTTGGACACATAGCAGTGGTGAAGGCCAGAGGAGGGGTGGCGGGAACTGGATGGAGGTGGGCAAAGGGGGGCAAATGGAGGACATCTGTAATAGTGTCAACAATAAAGAAATTTAATGCCCTGGCCGGTTTTGCCCAGTGGTTAGAGTGTTGGCCCGAGGATCGAAGGGCTGCAGGTTCGATTCCTGGCCCCGGTCATGGTGCAAGTGGGAGGCAACCAATCACTGTGTCTCTCTTGCGTCAATGTATCTTTCTCTCTCTCCCCCTCCTCTCTCTCCCTCCCACTTTCTCTAAAGAAATCAATGGAAAACATATCCTCAGGTGAAGATTTTTTAAAAATTAATAATAAATAAATAAGATATAGAATATGAGGAGTGGCATTATTGCATTATTTAAAAACAATCTGCCTGATATTTTATTCCCCAACCCAAATGAAATAAAAATAGCTGTAAAGGAAAGATATGTTCTGTCTAATATATTCATTACTTCAAAACTTTTTAAAAAAATGTGTTTTTATTGATTATAGAGAGAAAGGGAGAGGGAGAGAGAGAGAAACATTGATGAGAGAGAAACAGCAGTCAGCTGTCTCCTGTACACCCTCCACTGGGGGGGCGTGTCCTGACCGGAAATCGAACCTGTGACCTCTTGGTGCTTGGGTCGACACTCAACCTCTGGGCCACACCAGCGAGGCAGTATTTTCATTACTGTAAAAAATCTTTTTATTGTGCAAAACGTCAAACATACACATCCTCCTGTTCTGTAAAATAAAGAGATTCCTAGAGAAAACCAAAGGAAGAATGGTTAAAGCTTCCAAGAAACAGTGAGCCTTGTACTTGATTCTGCTCTCATTTCAAGAGCAGAAAATAGGTTCCAACCATCAGAATGAACGTGATTGACAGTTACTGAGACTGAAATGCTGGTGTCATGTCAGGGGACAGATTACTTGGAACCCAGGAAGCACATCAAAGTCCCACATATTTATTCAGGTCCAACTGTTTTTATGGAAGACTTGAAATATCAATTTGATTGTGCTGGTCCTGTCACCGTCCTTGTTTTGCGATGGTTCATTTGCGTGGAGAGAGCACTGCACTGTTTCTGTGAGTACAATCTTGTGTTGCCATTCTGACATTGAAGCTCTCTCTTTCAGGTCTTGGATGGACTTTTGGCTCAGTATGGGACAGTGGAGAATGTCGAACAAGGTAATAAGTGAGGAAATTAGCCAACTGAATTTGGAGAGGGATGTTATCTATTATATCTTGTAGGTTGGGTCAACTCCTGGGAAAAATAATAAGTTCAAACTCCTTTGAAACAAACAAGCTTCTTAGAGTATATGTTTGTGTATCTATGTGTGAGAGATGTCTATATATAACCTATCTACCCATATTTATATAATTTGTTTTTTCAAGGAATATGATGTTCAGGCTATTTTTTAATACTCTGTAATGGGCTCAAGCATTGGACAAACACTGTCAGGCTGGGATCCGAGTAATTCACTTGGAAGTAATTGGATTTACACTATTATAACAACTTCCTTCTTCCTCGCTAAAAATAACAATCTTGGACCGAGTGTTTCTCAAGAAGTAGGACTCCTATGCCAGAATCCTCTGGAGTGGTCGTAAAAATGCATATTCCTCGGGCTCCCCCTAGACCTACAAACAAGACCTTCTGGGGCAAGAGTTCATGCATCTGTATTTTAAACAAGTACTCCCACGTGATTTTTGTAGGTACTCAACTTAGAGAGCCACTGTCTTGGGAACAGTGTAATAAATGCCCACGAAATACATACTCTTCTGCTCCCTTATTTTTACTTTTACCTTCTAAAACATGATGTGGGTTAGAGAGCGATTGGAACACTCCCTGGGCAAAGGCCAGGGCTGGGCTCACGTTTATGACGTGTAAATCTCAGTGGCAGTTCCTCCCTAAGGCTTACTCGTTCCCTCCCCACGAAGGCTGTGGCTACTTTGAAGTTATGGGATAAACTATAACCTTTTTGAGAATCTAATGGAAATTATAAACCAGGAAAATTCATATATCCACAGATTTGAATCTTTGGGTTGGGTAGGGAGAGTCAGGTTATAGAATTCCTAAAGCTTTAGTATAGTTCCAAGATTAAGAATCCCTACTCTATAGGGCAGTGATGGCGAACCTTTTGAGCTCGGCGTGTCAGCATTTTGAAAAACCCTAACTTAACTCTGGTGCCGTGTCACAGAGAGAAATTTTTTGATATTTGCAACCATAGTAAAACAAAGACTTATATTTTTGATATTTATTTTCTATATTTAAATGCCATTTAACAAAGAAAAATCAATCAAAAAAATGAGTTCGCGTGTCACCTCTGACACGCGTGTCATAGGTTCGCCATCACTGCTATAGGGTCTTATTATTACTTTGAAAAGGAGCTTTATTGTGGTTTTCTTGAATTATTAGCCTTAACTTCATGTTGTTGTTAACTCCAGGTCTCCCAGTCGCTTAAAACATTTGAAGGGAGGGTTTGATTTAGTCATGTCTTCTTGTTGTTGTTGTTTTTTGGCGGGGGGAGTGGGGATCAATATTTTTGCTTTAAGTTTACTAGCTTGAATTGAACAAATTTTATCTTTCCTTTTGAATTTATTTTCAACTTCTGACTTGGATGAAGAAGCAAATGAAAGACAATAACCAGCTCACAAAATGATTTCTTATTGGCCATCCTTAGAGTTTATGTGTTCTCTCCTTTAGCCAAGTGAGTCGGGATTGCCAGTTTTCTTTAATTATTGTATGCAGTTACTAGGTTTAACTCCCACAGTCAAGGAGTTCAGTCAAAGGGAAACAAAAGGAGTAATTCAACCTTATCAATGAAAGAAAAATTAAAATTAAAATACTTTCTTATTTTCCATATATATCCAATTACTTAAAACTAAATGCAAATTATAACAAATAAAATTTATACCTTGATAGTGGTATAATAAATTGATACAAACTTTTAGGAAAGTAACTTGAAATTATACATTAAAAGCATTATGTTCTTTTACCCAGTTTATTTTTTCTTCTGTGATTGGCTTAAAAAAGTAATTCAAAAGACCTAAAATTAATGATGTTTGCAACAAATATGGTTTTCAGCAACACTTTTTTTTAGAATAGCAAATACTGAAAACAATCCATTTGTCAACATTTGAGGGATGGTCAGGCAAAAATCATGACACAGTTGCCCTAGCCAGTTTGGCTTAGTGGATATAGCGTCGGCCTGCAGACCAAAGGGTCCCGGGTTTGATTCCGGTCCTCGTGCAGGAGGCAACCAATCGATGTGTTTCTCTCACATTGATATTTCTCTCTATCTTTTCCTCTCTCTTCCACTTTCTCTAAAATCCGTGGAAAACTATCCTCAGGTGGGGATTGAAAAAAAATCATGGCACAGTTATTACAATTTTATGTAGGCATTAAAAAAATACAAGAAAATGTAGAAGTAACCATGCAAAAGTGTTTAAAAAATAAGTGAAAATATAGGTTTGCGTTATATATAAATTGATTACAAATATGTATATACAATTGGTTACAAATCATTATGAATATAAATAAATAAATACAGAGATTCAAGTAACTCTAGAGTTAGGGCAGTGAATTATTTTGTGCATTTTTCTCAAAAGTAAGCCTGTTTACATTGAGCCAGAGGGTGGCAGCTTTTTTCTCTATGACAATGTAGTTTTTGCTTCTTCCCCAGTCAACACAGACACAGAAACTGCCGTTGTCAACGTCACATATTCAACAAGAGAAGAAGCAAAAACGTAAGTGCATTTGGGCTTCCTTAAAGTTTCTGAGTGGTTATCTTTGAATCCCATTGAGTCCTGTGTTTATAAACCATTTTGAAAAGATGCAGACCTTTGACGTGTCACTGGAATTCCAGAGCATTTATACCAGGATGTCTCTTTGTTGATTGCACAGAGACTTTATCTTGAGAATTGAGCTGTGGCATCAAAACCGAGGTGGGAGTGTTCTTGGCCTGGTCAGGAGTAGAGCCGGCTGTGATGCTGTGGCCGGGACTCTGCTTCACCACGGGAGCCACTTCCACCTGGAGCTTCCTCCAGGCACCGGATGAAGCAGCACAAACCTTAATTTTTTTTTAAATTTGTTTTTATTGATTTTTAGAGAGAAAGAGGAAGAGAGAGGGAGAGAGAGATAGAAACATGGATGATGAGAGAGAATCACGGATCAACTACCTCCTGCACACCCCATCCTGGGCATGGAGCCCACAACCCGGGCATGTGCCCTTGACCGGGAATCGAACCCGGGACCGCCTGGTTCACAGGTCGACGCTCAACCACTGAACCACACTGGCCGGGCCAAACCTTACTTTTTATCCACACTAACTGAACGGAAAATATATTTTATTGATTTTTTACAGCGAGGAAGGGAGAGAGATAGAGAGTTAGAAACATCGATGAGAGAGAAACATCGACCAGCTGCCTCCTGCACATCTCCCACTGGGGATGTGCCTGCAACCCAGGTACATGCCCTTGACCGGAATCGAACCTGGGACCTTTCAGTCCGCAGGCCGACGCTCTATCCGCTGAGCCAAACCGGTTTCGGCTATCCACACTAATTGAACGGACACTCAGACATCCATTTTTCCTCTGTTGAAGGGGGGATCCACCTCAGTGACAGCAGCAGCAGGGAGAGGTATCTGGAGGATATGAATCAAGGAGCATCTGGCTTGGGTTCTTTTTCCTACCCCCATTCACTCCCTAGTCCCCATTCATGACTAAACTGCTTCAGTGGAGGTTACTTTTGAGCTTGACTGTTAACGGACGTGGGATTGAGGTTTTCAGAAATACAACAAAAATAAGTTCCTTTTTATAGGAAGTTCTTAAAGGTCACTGTAACTAGAATAGGGTCATGCTTGGTTATACATCCCAGGAATACAGATTTATTTCTTTTTCAAGGTTTCAACACACATGAAGACTGTATATAATAGTAAAAGGTTGGAATATGAATATATATATATATATATATATATATATTCATATTCCAACCTTTTACTATTATATACTATTATATATATATATATATATATATATATATATATATATATATATATATATAAAATTTTCATACCGGTGGTTTTTTTTTTTAATATATTTTATTGATTTTTTACAGCGAGGAAGGGAGAGAGATAGAGAGTTAGAAACATCGATGAGAGAGAAGCATCGATCAGCTGCCTCCTGCACACCTCCTACTGGGGATGTGCCCGCAATCCAGGTACATGCCCTTGACCAGAATTGAACCTGGGACCTTTCAGTCCGCAGGCCAACGCTCTATCCACTGAGCCAAACCGGTTTCAGCCATACCAGTGGTTTTTAAAAAGTTAATTTTGTATCGGAAAAGGCAGTAACTCATTTGCTACTGACTTTTGCACACATCTATACCAATAACTCACCTTTGCAGTCTTGTCCAGCTGCCACTTTGGTAGGACCTTTCTACACATTACTTTGCTGCTTTTATTGAATTCAAAAGGTGCTGCTTTGTAATAAATTCACAAACCCTACACATTAAGCTAGTTCAATAGGGTTATTTTCACAGGCTGCTGAAAACATGTAAAAAAAATATGTTCCATGTCATGTATAATTTTTAGAATGCAATAGTGGGCTATTATTTATTCCCTCTCAAATGAATAAGTATTTTTAGATAATAATATTTTGTGCTTTTGAGGACTCAAGGAAACAAATGCTCCTTTAACTGCTATAGGATAGTAAATGTTGACACCTATCCAAATGGACACGGGGTCATGCTATGTTAGAATTCTGCAACTCCGTTAGGAATTTATCCTGTGTGCACAGTTGTAGTTGCAAAGATGCCCATGGCAACATTGTATATACTAGTAAAAGACTGGACTTCATTCTATATAATAAAGAGCTAATAGGCAAATGGTTGTCACGCCCTCGCACCCTTGCGCCGGGGCAGGGGGACCTGAGGCTGAGCCCCCCCGCCCCGGCCCTGCAGGGCTTGATAGGGATGGGGCCGGCCAGGTCTGGGTCTCGCACGATTTCGAGGCGCACGCAGGTGGGCGAGGACTTGACTCTGGGTCCTGTGGCACGCCCCAGACTCTGACAGGAGGGAGATTTTCGTATACATTTTACTAATTTTCTTTCATCTCTGACACTTCTATTATAGAGAGAGGGCAAATAGCAATATTAAAATACTTCCTCTAATTAATTCCCTTTTAATGTGCATGAATTTCATGCACCGGGCCACTAGTATATATATAACAATGGAGGATCATTTACAAAAACTATGATAAATCAATAAAATGTTAAATAGCCAGTAAAAATTAAATTGGAGAATATTTAATGACTTGGAGAATGTGTGGAATATTAATCTTTTTTTAAAGGTTAGAGAAAAGTATGTATGATATCAATTTATTTTTGTAAATATATTTCTGTTTAAGAAAAATAAGATAGATACTGCTGTTAGGACTTTTTCTTATTTGTGGTTATCTGTCTCTGAATTTTCAATGATACATACATATTATGATAAAGAGTCATAATTTTATACCGATATTAACAAAGAGTCTTTGATAAGGGGGAGACAGCCTTGGTTGGTGATCAAAAGCGGAATGCGTGATTGTATAGCAAGTGCGACCAGGCCTGTGGACTGTGATTAGTGTTCATTGTCAGCCACAAGCTCCGAGGGGGCAGGTGGGTGTCTGGTGCTCGCGCTGGTCCTCGGCGAGGGTGAAGGGCACTCCCACAGATGAGATGAGTGAGAGTGAGGACCAGTCCGCCGGCCCGCAGGGTCTTCTGGCCGCTGCTCTCTAACGGAGCTCGCCTGCTTCTGCTGCGTTTCAGAGCCATCGAGAAGCTGAGCGGGCATCAGTTTGAGAACTATTCCTTCAAGATTTCCTACATCCCGGATGAAGAGGTGAGCTCCCCTCCGCCCCCTCAGCGAGCCCAGCGTGGGGACCACTCTTCCAGGGAGCAAGGCCACGCCCCTGGGGGCTCTTCTCAGGCCAGACAGATTGATTTCCCGCTTCGGATCCTGGTCCCCACCCAGTTTGTTGGTGCCATCATCGGAAAGGAGGGCTTGACCATAAAGAACATCACTAAGCAGACCCAGTCCCGGTACGTGCCTCCGGGGCTTCCTTTGCTTCCTTCTGAGGGGTCCCCTGAGTGCTGGGGGGCCCAGCCATCCTCCAGTGGCTCTTGCTTGCGTCAGTGGGGGGGCGGGGGCTGTGCTGTATGGGACGGTGGCTTCTTTAAACAGAACTGTTAACAGACTAACAGAAAGCCGGGCTTTAATGAGCTTTCATGCCAGTGGCCGGAAGGTTAAACCCTGAAACAGCAAAGGTTCATAAAGAAGGCACTAATGACCTCAGCCCAGGATTGTTCTTATAAGCTAACTAATGCTTGTGATTGCATCTGTTTCTAAAACAGCAGCGGTATGGAGCAGAACTTTGTGGGATCCTTGAACCCACTTACCTGAGCCCTGACCTCCTCTCCTGAGGCAGAGCGCTGGGCGGTAGTCCTTCCCTGAGACCCGCCTAGATAGGCTCAGAAAAGCTACATCAGGGGAGTGGATGGGTCACTGCTATATTGAGCAAGAAATAAAGTATATTAGCCTTACATTTAGTTTTCTGCCTAAGGAGACTGGACCGGTGGTAGGAGTTGTAGTGAGTAAAAAGACTTGTGGGGTTGCTGATTTTTCTATGTTCATATGACCACAGCAAGATGTAACCAAGAAAGCACAGGACTTCAAAGCAAAGACCCTTGTTCAAGTTTTACCATGTAATGGCTTTACGATCTGGGAAAAATTTTCACCTCTCTGAGCATCAGTTGCTTCTTCTATAAGCAAAGGTTATTGTGAAAATTAGGATAGTCAGGCGGATTGAATGTAGTACAGACAGTCCTCGGGTTACGTCGGACTCGACGTACGTCGCCATCTCCCATTTATTTATAAAAAAAAATAGTTCCGTCATTTCAACGTATGTACATATGTGCTTTATGCTTTTTATTATTTATTTACCACAAGTAAAGGTCAAAATTGTTTTCTTTTAAATTTTTTTTTTTTTTTTTTACTGTTTCACTTCATTACTGCTGTGTATGTGCTCCATGTGAGTGACGTAGGTGCTTATGTCGGTGGGTTCCGACTCACAGGGAAATACGTCGCGCCGTAGGAACGGATCTCCGACGTAACCCGAGGACCTACTGTAATTATTATGAAAGCACTTAAATTGCAAAGCAGCAAATTACTGACAATTACTTACATGCCTCGTGCATTTTATTCAGGCCATGGATAGAGTGTCTTGTAACATGAAAGAGAAAACACAATTTTTCTTAAAGCATCTGAGTTACTCCCAAATAATGGAAATTTATTTTGCATCCCAGAGTTCATTATCATGGGAGTGAAATAAAGGGACAGTAGAGAGGGGAAATACCCTTTTATTTTAAAATCAGCCCTTTTTGTCCTCTCTAAGTTTTCTTCACTGTAAAGTGATTTTTATTTATTTGTCTTTTTTGTTCAAAAAAAATTGTTTAAAGTGGCTTTAAAAGTGCCACACGTTTAAATAGAAGCAAGGTTAGTGCTCAGCGTGTGTGCCCGTTTTTTAGAAGTAGGCTAAAGACTTGGATCTGGGCTTTCTAACATCAGAGTAAAAGGGGATGCAATCAATTATGTGATTTTGAAAAATTAACAAAAACAAGTCGGGCCATGACTACCTTGAGAAGCCTGTTACAGTCATCAGGTCGCTGAGCTAGAGGAAGGCAGGCTGCCAGTGGCAAGCTGCCAGTGGCAAGGAAACCAAAACTTAGGCAGAGCGAGGGATGCCTCTGCTTTCTCTCCACACTCAGATATCTAAAGCTTGCTTGAATTTGTGTTTGGATTTGGGTTAACACATGGCTTTAAAAAGCTGCCGTCAGTTCAGAGAGTGGCACCGTGCCGACGTGCGTATTAACCCTGCTCCCTTTACTCCTCACTTCTACGGTCATCTGAAAGATGGCGCAAAATACTTCATTTACCCAGCTGGCTTCATGACCAAGTTGGCCGGGGGCCCTTGTCCCACCGCACACCGTCAGAAATATGCCCTGCTAAATGGAGCCGCAAAGAATTCGAGTTTGGCACAAGACCCCCTGCACTGCTTGCCGCCGTGGGGAATGTCACTGGTTGCAAATGTGCTGATGACCACGCCTTGTCTGTCTGTGTCCTTGCTGTTCGTTGGCTGGTGCGGCCCCGTCTTGGGACGAGCGAGGATCCTGTCCCCGATGACGACGTGCTATGGCTCCTGATTCTTTTCCCACAGGGTGGACATCCATAGGAAGGAAAACTCTGGGGCCGCGGAGAAGCCCGTCACCATCCACGCCACCCCAGAGGGGACCTCGGAAGCGTGCCGCATGATTCTTGAAATCATGCATAAGGAGGCTGATGAGACCAAAATGTAAGTTTGCGTGCCATGTCCACGTCACTCAGCAGAGATTAAGAGTAGGTTCTCATTCATGGGACACAATACATTTTTTCTCAGGGACAATACCTCATTGTCATTTGTATTTGCATGTCTGTGATGATTAGTGGTGCCAAGAGTCTTTTTTATGCTTATTGGCATAAAAAATGGCATAAAGCTGTAACTCTTACTAAGTGAAGGGAGCAGGGAAGGATTATTTTTAAGAAATTTGTTTCCAAAGAGAATACAGTGGAAAACAGATCTTGTGCATTTATAATAGGGCGGTTTTTCCATTTGTATGTTTCTCCTGATGATCCTAATGCTTCCATCACTCACTGGTAACAATTATTGGTAGGAATACATAGACCAGTGCTGTTTAGTGTCATGCAATGATGGGAATGTTCTATATCTGCCCTGTTCAATAAGATGGTGATTTGCTACATGTTGCTATGGAGTGCTGGAAATGTGACTAGTGCAATGGGGGAACTGAATCTTTTAATTTATTCAGATTTGAATCGTTACATGTATGGCTAATGACTGTCACGTTGGACAGGGCAGGTATAGAAGGTGCACTGTCATCAAAACCATCACTTACTGTTCTGGGAAAGGTGTTTTGTTTTGTTTTTAATATATTTTACTGATTTTTCACAGAGAGGAAGGGAGAGGGATAGAGAATCAGAAACATCGATGAGAGAGGAACATCGATCAGCTGCCTCCTGCACACCTCCTACTGGGGATGTGTCCGCAACCAAGGTACATGCCCTTGACCGGAATTGAACCCGGGACCCTTCAGTCCGCAGGCCGACGCTCTATCCACTGAGCCAAACCCGTTAGGGTCTGGGAAAGGTTTTTGTCATCTGCCCCTAAACCACTTGCACGCTTTTAAAATTGAATTATATTTCCTTTAGTAGTAGATACTGGTAGTGTGGGTAGCTACTTTATTCTTCTTCTCTCTGTTTTCTTCTGTCTCCTCCTTTTCTTTTACAAAATACTTCTTAGGATTCCTGAGTGTTGTATCCATTTGAAGGGCAAATACAGTTCTTACTAAAGCAATTGCATTTTTATTACAAACAAATTAGTGGTAATTGAATAGATAATATAATAAAAAGGGTTCTATGCAGTTTGGCAAAATCCACTTATGGGCATTGGTGGCACTTTCATAGAGAAGTACAGAGGGATGAATTGAATATAAAATTAATTTAGCAAATAATGTCAAATAAGAGTGCTCCAAAGCCAAAAAGAGGAAAGTAGTCCTAAAAACAAACAAACAAAAACACATTACAAATCTCTTCTTAGATTTCATAAGGGACTCTAACCTTTCACTTATGAACAGTTAATTTCTTTCATTTACTGTATTGCAGGCTTTTAACCGCCCCCCCCCCCCCCAAATGCCATGGCTTAATTTGAAGAAGCTCCTTCCTCATCCAAGTTATTGAAAACTTTTAAAATAACACACTCTTTGGTCCTTCAACCTAGGTACCAAGCAACTTTCAATATTCTAAATAATTAACAAGACTGATTTATAAATTAGATATTTCAGTTTTTGTGTAGAGCCAAGATAGAGTTTGAATATCTTTGAAATAAATGTTTGGGTGGCCCTGTGTTAAGCACTGCGTGGGGGTTGAGGCTACAGTCATGAACAAGACCCAGGCCTGCTTTCATGGAGCCTACAATCCAGTGGGAGAGACGTTCACTAAACAAGTAATCACACCAGCATGTAGTGAAGCACAGCTATGAAAAGTGGTGATGGTGGAAAATGACCTTATTACTGGAAGCCCTAACCAAGGCTTCAGGGGAGATGGGAGGAGATTGGGGATTTCAGAGACAGCCTCTCTGTGACATTTAAACTGAGCCCTGAGGGGGATGAGTAGGAGGTAGAGGTTGTAGGGGAAGAGGGATCCTAAACTTTCATTTTATTCATTTACCAAATATTTATTGAGTGCCTACTATGTGCCAGGCACTGCTCTATATGCCAGTGAACACAACTAACCCAAATAAATAAATAAATATGCCCTGCCCTCCCAAAGTTACACTCTAGCGGAGCTTCTTCAAGCATCCATGTATTTTGAGGCAGTAATAATGCATCTGTTAGATGCTCTTGATTTCAATAACAGAAAACGTAAGTGGCTTAAGCAATAGGAAGCAATTATGATGCCACATAGTAGGAAGTTCTAAGGTCAGAAAACTCCAAGGTCATTTGGCTCCTGGATTCAAAGACCCATGACTTTTCTTTCCACTTCACCATCTCCAAGGTGTCCGATAGCTTCCTGGTGATGACACGATGGCTGTAGTGATTTCAGACCTGTGTCCCCACAGGATAATATTCAGAAGCTGGAAGAGAAGGCATCTTTGCCTTGCTCTTTTCTTTTTTTATTGTGGTAATAAAACCACATAACATAAAAGTTCCCATCTTAACCATTTTTCAGTATACAGTTCAGTCGTGTTCAGTGTATTCACATTGTTGTGAAACGGGCCTGCCTCTGGCACTTCCTCATCCTGCAAAACCGAAACTCGGTTCCCATTAAACAACAACTCCCCTTTTCCCTCTCCCTCCAACCTCTGGTAACTACCATTCTACTTCTTCTTTCTATGAAAGAAAGTAGAATCATACAGTACTTGTCTTTTTGTGACTTGCTTATTTCACTTAACGTAATAGCCTCAAGATTCATCTGTGTTGCAGCATGTGACAGGATTTCGTGTTTTAGCTATTGTAAATAGTGCTGTTATTAACACACGTGTGCAAATATCTCTCTGAGGCCCTGCTTCTAATCCTTTTGGATATATACCCAGAAGTGAGGTTGCTGGACTATATGGCAGTGCTGTCTGAATTGTTCTGTGAAGCCTCCGCACTGTTTTCCATAGCAGTTGCACCACCAGTGCACAAGGGTTCCAATCGCTCCAGATTCTCACCAACACTTGTTATTTTCTGTTATTTTGATAGTAGATATATTAATTGGGTGTGAGGTAGTATTTTGTATTCACAATGCCTCGTTGTCATTTGTATTTGCATGTCTGTGATGATTAGTGATGCCAAGAGTCTTTTGTATGCTTGTTGGCAATTGTATATCATTTTTAGAGAAATGTCTGTCAAGTCCTTTGCACATTTTTTAAACAGGTTATTTGATTTTTTAAAAATTGTTGGTTTATTTGTCTCTTGATGCCTGTGCCACACTGTTTTGATTGCTGTGGCTTCGTAATATGTTTTTGAAATGAGGAAATGCGAGTCCTCCCACTTTGTTCTTTTTCAAAGTTGTTTTGATTATTCAAGGTCTTTTGATATTCCATACAAATTTTAGAATGAATTTTTTTATTTCTGCAAAAATTGTCGTTGGGGTTTTGATAGGGGTTACATTGCATGTGTAGATTACTTAGATAGTATGAACATTGAAACAATATTAAGTCTTCCAGTCCATGAATGTAGAATATCCTTCCATTGATTTCTGTTGTCTTTTATTTTTTCAGCAGTGTTTTATAGTTTCATTGTATAGGTCTTTTACTTCCTTGGTTACGTTTATTCCTAAATATTTTATTCTATGATGCTATTGTAAATGGAATTGCTTAATTTCATTTTCAGATTGTTTATTTTTAGTAGATAGAAACACAACTGATTTGTGTGTGTAAATTGTGTATCCCATGATGTTGCTGTATTAGTTTATTATAACAGTTTTTTGTGGAATCTTCAGTTTTTAACATATAAGATAACGTCATTAGCAAAGAGAGATAATTTTATTTCTTCCTTTCCAATTTAGACACATTTTATTTCTTTTCCTTAACTAATTGCTCTGGCTAGGACTTCCACTACTATGTTGAATGGAAGTGGTAAGAGCAAGCTTCCTTGTCTTGTTCCTGATCTTAGAGTAAAAGATGTCAGTCTTTCACTATTGAATATGATGTTCACTGTGGGCTTTTCACAAATGGAATTTATTATGTTGAGGTAGTTTTCTTCTATTCCTAGATTGTTGTGTGTTTTTATCATGAAAATATATTAAATTTTGTCAAATGCTTTTTCTGTATCAAGGTGATCCTGTGGGTTTTGTTTCTCACTTTGTTAATGTGGTATATTACATTAATTGATTTTTATATGTTGAACTATCCTTGCATTCCAGGAATACATCCCACTTGGTCATAGTATATAGTCCTTACGTGCTTTCAAATTCAATTTTGTGGTAAATTTTAAAAGGATTTTTGCATCAACATTCAAAATCAGGAATACTGGTCAGTAGTTTTGTTTGGTTAGTTGGTTTTGTTTTTTTTTGAGGTGTCTTGTTTGGCTTTAGTATTAGAGTAAAGCTGACCTAATAGAATGAGCTTGGAAGTGTTCACTCCTCTTCAGTCTTTTGGAAGAGATGGAGAAGGATTGCTATTAATTAAGTCTTCTTTAAATGTTTGGTAGACTTCTTCAAGGAAGCCGTCAGGTCCTGGGGCATTTCTGTGTTGGAAGGTTTTGGGTTATTCATTCAATTTCCTTACTTATTACTGGTCTGTTCAAATTTCCCTTATCTTTTTTAATCCTTACATGAGGATATGTTTTTTTATTATTGTTATTATCGACTTTAGAGAGAAAGGAAAGGAGAGAGAGAAACATTAGTATAAGAGAAACATCCATCAGTTGCCTCCCATATGAGCCTTGACCATCTATAATTTTTATTGAATATATCAGGGTGACATTGGTTAATAAAATTACGTAGTTTTCAGGTGTACAATTCTATAATACATCATGAATATATTATATTGTGTGATCACCATTCCCCCCCTATACGTTCTTGTACCTCTACTTTTGTTATTGATGTCACAAATTATTATTTATGTATTATATACCCATTAACATAGATTTACCGTTTTTGCTTTTCTCATTTAAATTTTATGCATCAAAGTTACTATAGTGTAGGTTATTGTATTTGTGTATTTTTTTAAAAAGAATCTTATATTTTTATGACTTTGTGTTGGTATCTACTGTACTTTCATTTCAACTTAAAGTTTCTTGTAGAGCAATTCTAATAGGAATGAACTCTCTAAGCTTTTGTTTTCCTGGAAAAGTCTTATTTCTCCTTCATTTTTGAAGGACAATTTGCCAGATATGGTATTCCTGGTTGACAGTTTTTTCTTTCAGCAGTTTGAATATATCATCCCACTCCCTCCTGGCCTGCAAAATTTCTGCCGAGAAATCCACCGATAATATGGAAACTCCTAGGTATGTGACTAATACTCTTATCTTGCTGCTATCAAAATTGTCCTTTGTCACCATAGCCAGTTTGGTTCAGTAGTTAGAGCATTGGCCCACAGACTGAAAGATCACAGGTTCAATTCCAGGCAAGGGCATGTACTTCGGTTGCAGGCTCAATCCCTAGCCCCAGTAGGGTGCATGTAGGAAACAACCAATCAGTGTGTCTCTCTCACGTTGATGTTTCTCTCTCTCTCTTCTCCTCCTCCTCCTCCTCCTCCTTCCTTCCACTCTCCAAAAATCAATGGGGGGGGGGGGGGGGGGAATGTCCTTGGGTGAGGATTTAAAAAAAAAAAAAGATTGTGCTTTGTCTTTTGTCTTTGGCTTTAGACACATGGGTTACAATATGTCTCAGTGTAGTTCTCTTTGGATTTATCCTAGTTGAAAGAGCATCTTGAATCTATTTGTCCATTTCTTTCCTCAGATTTGGACAGGTTTCCATCATTATTATTATTATTTTTTTTTTGAATAAGCTCTTTGCCCCTTCTCTTTCTTCTCCTTATGGATTCCCATGATGTGTATATTATCACTATAGTGTCCTTTAGCCTCTCTTTGCCTTCCTGTATTCTTTTTTCTCCTCTTGATTTCAGATGATCAGTCTTCAAGTTTGCTGATATTTTTCTTTTGCCTGTTTATGTCTGCTATTAAACCTTTTAAATAAAAATTTCAGTTTAGTTTTGTAATCTTTAGCTTTATTATTTGTTAGGTTGTTGTTTTTTATAGTTTCTGTCTCTTTATTGATTCTTATTTTGTACATACATCATTTTTCTGATTTCATTTAGTCGTCTGGTCTTTTTTAGGTCATTGAGTAGCTTTATGACAGTTTTTCACATTCTTTGTCAGGTAGTTCATAGGCCTGCATCTCTTTAGGATCCGTTTCTGGAGTTTTATTTTGATCCTTTGGTTAGTCATTGTTTCCCTGTTTCTTTGTATGTCTTGTAGTGTTTTTGCTGGAATTTACAACCACCTCTCTGTCTTTGCCTCCTGACTTCATTCAGGGAAGAACTTCACTAATGAGCCTGGCTGCAGGTTCTAGGTCTCTCAAACCTTTTTGATCTCTTTCTCCCCCTGGCTTCTGACTGTGTAACTGCAGCTCTAACATGCTGGTTACCTCTGTTTTCCCCACCTTCCACACTCCGGTGCCAGTCTCCTCAGCCCTCCAAGTCAGGAGAGACAGAAACCAATCTCTTGGGTAGCCCCCAGACAGTCCAGAATGTTGGACTCATACTCCATTTTTTTGTTTTTGTTTTAAAGGGAGGAACCCTGGTATGAAGGATTGCTTCTTAGTTGCTCCTGGCTATGCTGTGTAGGGGAAGGAACATGAACAGGCATGCCAGATACCACAATTTTCCTTCCCCTTTTGCTGGAATCCCTTCTTGGTTTTATAATAGCCTGGGTGCTAGAGCTTCTCAGTTGATCACTAGGGTTCTCACAGAAGTATTTGTTAACTTGGTATCTCTGGGGGGGTGGGTAGGAAGACGTGAAGCTTTCTAGTTTGTCATCTGACTAATGTCATTAACCCTTGTACCTTTTTTTAAAAAAATATATATTTCATTGATTTTTTACAGAGAGGAAGGGAGAGGGGGTAGAGAGTTAGAAACATCGATGAAAGTGAAACATTGATCAGCTGCCTCCTGCACACCCCCTACTGGGGATGTGCCTGCAACTGAGGTACATGCCCTTGACCAGAATCAAACCTGGGACCCCTCAGTCCACAGGCCGACACTCTATCCACTGAGCCAAACCAGCCAGGGCAACCCTTGTACCTTTTTAAGAGCAAGGAAAGCCTTCCTAAAGTCACCTAACAGATTTCTCCTTATATCTCATTGGCCATATCTACCTCTTGGACTTACTCCCAACCAGGCACAGCAGAGGAGTATAATCATCATGGCTTGGCTTATGTTAATGAGAATTCACGCACTGGGATTAGTAAGGGACTCCTCTCCTAAAGCTCATACCACTTGGTACCTGAACAAAACAGCTTCTATTTGTAAGAAAAACAAACGAAGGTAATAGCCTTTGGGGAAGCAATCGCCTTTTCCACCTTAAATGTTAAATTGTTGGTTGTCTTTTTTAGAACCGAAGAGATTCCTCTGAAAATCTTGGCCCACAATGGCTTGGTTGGAAGACTTATTGGAAAAGAAGGCAGAAATTTGAAGAAAATTGAACATGAAACTGGGACCAAGATAACAATTTCATCGTAAGCCACCCATTCAGATTCATTGTGCCCAGTAATGGAGTATTTGGTCATCTTGCTATGCCCAGTTCATTCACCTGCTTTTCTATAAAATGGGAGTGTAATCAGAAGTCACATAGTTATCTCCAAAACCATAAAGACAAATACATAAATAGTCACCAATCAGACATTTTACTATAGATGTGTCTGTCACTAGCAAGATTTGAGATAAGGCGGTAAGTGTTCTGTGCTTCAGTGTGTGGTGAGGAAATTCGGTCTTCTCCCCACCGTCTCCACCAAGACTAGTTTGTTATCCTCTAGGATTTATTTATCCTTATGATAAAAGCAAATTTCTGTTTTTTTTTCTGGTGGCCAGCTTGCAGGATTTGAGCATATACAACCCTGAAAGAACCATCACTGTGAAGGGCACAGTCGAGGCCTGTGCCAGTGCTGAGATGGAGATTATGAAGAAGCTACGTGAGGCCTTTGAAAATGACATGCTGGCTGTAAATGTAAGTGCCTAATGCTTTCTTCTCCTGGTTTTCACATGTTTTCAGTAGAATTCAAGCCTCTCTAAGAATAGCTGTCCTTCAGATAGAGAAGAAACATCTTCTAATAGTTATGCAGAGTTATTGTTCCCTTCTTAGGGCAAGGGCATTAAACTAATCAGGAGACCATTACGATAAATGCACTGGACAAAATAGTGTGAAACCGTTAAAATCATAACTGAAAATTTTAAAATAAGGAATCGTCTATGATATAATGTTAGTAAAGAAAAGTATATAAAAGTGTATAAAATTGGAGTTATAATTATGTAAAATAATATGTATCAAAATGACGGAAGGCTACATATAAAAATAGCTTTTATATTAGGAAGGTGGGTTTTTTCCCCAATTTCCAGTTGTAAAAGTAAATACTTTAAAATGAACTTCTGATTTTCATCTCCTGCTTAATGATCTGCTCTTTTAGATTACCTAATAATTATTGTCAACCACCTCAGCTCTAATATTCCTAACAGACTGATTTGGGTTTATCTTTCCTATTATTGCTATGTAGTTCCCACTTTATAATAGGAAGACACCAGTCTGGCATAAGAAATTTTAAAAGTATCTGTCCATTGCCAAAACTCAACTCAGTAAATGTTTTTATTTTCTCTAATAATGATTTTCTAACATATTGAAGAGGAAAGGATGCTGTAATGCGTCCTCCTAACCCCATAATCCAGCTTCCATGGTTATCAACTCATGGCCTGTTTTGTTTCATCTGAACCATCATCATCCATTGCACCCTCCCCCCCCTTTGGATGTCCTTGCAGCAAATCGTAGGCCTGGTAACATTTCAGAGGAATAAATGCTAACAAAGAGCAGTGTAGGTTCAACGCAGTTCCCTCCCTGCAGCACATCCCACAGCACCTACCCCTTCCTCAGGTCAGTGCTCTCTCTCCCACCTGAGCAGCCACATCACGTGGCACTTGCGAGACATGACGAGAAGCGTGACCTTCTCTCCCCATTTGTGTGTGTTTGTCTGTAGAAGTGTCATTAGCATCCAGTGATCTCATTATCTTCTTTCGGGATCCTGACATCTTACAAGAAACATCTCTTTCTGTGAACACCCTAAAAAGGTCTGGGTGCACCAATCGTCTTCACCTGAGCCCACCACGTAGATTCATTCATGTCTGTACCAAAATCACACACTGATCGATGAATAGCAAAACTCCTAGATCTTATATATCCAGTTGGGTAAAGGTTAAGGACCCCAGCCCTACTGTTCCAAACATTCTAAAAGAAGGCAAGTTGGTAGGCAACCCTGGCCGCAGAAAAGAAGGAAGATGTTAGAGATCTGCTTAGGGTTTGAGGAGACAAAGGCAGGAGAAGGTTGGACACAGGCCAGGGTGGGTGACTACCTCTGTCTGCCTTTGATGGGCTGTGTAGTTAAAGTTCGACTCTGTCCCTTTTGCGGCCACCGCTGAAGTGCCAGCGGCCGATGAATTCAGACCCTTTTGACTTCTGACCAGAGCAGGAACCATAAGAGGCATTTCAAAGCACCTTCCCACATTCACAGGGAGATTATCTTCTCTTCCCAAAGAGCTGAGACAGTAGTACAGTGTTCCATCCACGCCCGTCCGAAAGGATGATGAAGTTCAGGTTTAAGGACACTACAAAGAGCAGCAAATTGGCAAAGTTGTCCAGGTTTACAGGAAGAAATGTGCCATCTACATTGAACGAGTGCAGTGGGAGAAAGCGAGCGGTACAACTGCTCATGGGGGCATTCACCCCAGCAAGGTGGTTATCACTAGAGTAAAGCTGGACGGAGACCGCGAAACAATCCTTGAACATAAAGCCAAATCTGGCCAAGTAAGAAAGGAAAGGGGCAAATACCAAGAAGAACAATTGAGAAGATGCAGAAATAAAGTAATCTTATATGCAACTTTCATGAAAAACTATTAAAATGGGTGATGGGGCGGGAACACCTTGACTCTAGCCTGTGGGAGTGACCCCATGTTTGAATGTGAAATAAACAAGCAAGTGAGATGATCACGAAGCTGGTAACCAAATGGTGAAAAGGCCAAAGCTGTGAACCATTCTGCACCTGGACACGGAGATTCCATATGTGGTGTCCTAGATAGAGTTAGGAAACCACTGTTAATCCAGTATGTGTGAAACATATCCATTCAACAAGTATTTATTGAGTACTTACTGTGTACCTGGCACTGAGCCCACAACACAATACGGTCTCCGTGCACCAGGAAGTTATGTCTGAAAGGGGAAGAGGTGCCTACGCAGGTGATCCACATACCATGTGGGGAGTGCTCTCTAAGGAAATGTAGGAATGTTAGCACAGAAAGGGCATGTGGATGAGGCCTTCGGGGTGAGAGAAGGCTTCCCCGATGAGGGGACACCTACGCTCAGGTGAAACCCACGTGATGACTAGGACTCAGCCAGGTGAGGAGCGAGCAGGGTGGACAAAGTGTACGGGGGCCCAGAGGTGAGAGGCACAGGAGTGGCAGGTTGGGGAGGAGGGGTTGGCAGCAGAGAGGCTGGTGGTGTGGCCTGGGTCCCCAGGAAGAGCCTCATTTGCTGCTGAGATGTGTAGATACTCTCAAGGGTGGCAGAGAAACTTTGGAGGAACCCCGTGGTCACGTTGAGGTTTGGAGAGCCCACCCCAGCAGCAGGGTGGGGAAGAGCTCATGAGGAGTCCCTGGTGCCACGGTGGCAGGAGATGGAGGTTGACCCAGGCAAGCCGGGACTCTGCTCGCCTTCCTTCATCTTGTTCTCCATTTCTGTTCCCAGCAACAAGCCAACCTGATCCCGGGGTTGAACCTCAGCGCACTTGGCATCTTTTCAACAGGATTATCTGTGCTGCCTCCACACGCGGGGCCCCGAGGACCTCCTCCTCCTCCTCCCCCCTACCACCCGTTCGCTGTAAGTAGCTCAGCTTCAGAGGGTTGCTCGCGCTCTGGGCTCTTCCAGGCAGCAGCATGGCTCTGCTGTGTTGCTCAGAGCTAAAGCTTGAACGTGGAGGCCTTGCTCATAAGTGACCGTAGGAGGAATCCAGCATGTCTTAGACTTCTTCCTAATGGACAGATTGATATTATTCCACCTTCCTCTAAACATGTACTATTAAATATAATAGGAAAGAAAGAATCCATTAGCAAAGACATTCACTAGAAGCCTGTTGATTGTAAAAAAAAAAGGATTTGTTCGTTCAAATAAGACTCTTCCTGAGTGCTGTTCATTCATTAAAATGCTAGGCTAGCCCTAGCCAGTTTGGCTCAGTGGGTAGAGCGTCGGCCTTTGGACTGAAGGGTTCCCGGTTCGATTCCGGCCGAGGGGACATGCCCGGGTTGCAGGCTCCATCCCCAGTGTGGGGCGTGCAGGAGGCAGCCCATCAATGATTTCTCTCATCATTGATGTTTCTATCTCTCTTTCCCTCTCCCTTCCTCTCTGAAATCAATAAAAATATGTTTTTAAAAATAAATAAATAAAATGCTAGGCTACCTGGATGTCCCTTTCCCACCTATGTCTGCAACTCAAATGCATTCTGTTTTAATACTAGGCAGATTTTAAAAGAAAATAATACACAGTGTTTCAAAATACTTAGAACAATGCCTGGCGTTTAGTGGGCTCTCAGTAACTGTTGTTTGAATCACATTTAATAACAGAAGAAGAAATGGGAAGTTACGAGTTTTCTGCTTGTTGCCTGCTTGCGGCTCCCACTCATGAGCCTTGTTCAGAATCAGGGCATCACCAAAGTGGGAGTGGGGGACAGGATACTTGCCAGCTGTTTTTTTTGTTTTTTAATATATTTTTATTGATTTCAGAGAGGAAGGCAGAGGGGGAGAGAGAGAGAGAAACATCAATTGGCTGCCTCCTGCACGCCCCCCACCGGGTATCGAGCCCACAACCCGAACATGTGCCCTGACCAGGAATCGAACCATGACCTCCTGGTTCATAGGTCCACTGAGCCACACCGCTGGGCTGCCAGCTGGTTTTTTATCCTGAACTCTATATACATACAGCTTATTCTTAAAGCAAACTTTCTCTCCCCCAACGTTTATACTGTTTAAATGGGAAGAATCCAGTTGGTGAACATAACCTTAGCCACTCCTTTCTTTCTGGTGCTTTGGGTTTCTGTAGAGACAGGAGAAACCTACTCTGCTGTTTTACCAACAAAATACCGACCTGAGTGGCAGCCATGTCCTCAGTCACAAGAACTTACACATTTCTGCAATCTGTTTATACACAGATCTGAGTCATTTCTAAATCTCTGTACCATTTATTTAAAATTATTAAACTAAAGGATAGGGCCCAATATTAAGCCGTGTGTGTCTGTGTGTGTGTCTGTGTGTGTGTGTGTGTGTGTGTGTGTGTGTGTGTGAGAGAGAGAGAGAGAGAGAGAGAGAGAGAGAGAGAGAGAGAGAGAGAGAGAAAGACAGGAGGGATTGTTGATGTTCCCAGGAGCAAAATAGCTACAAGAGGGGCATATCTCATATCTTTGCTATGAGATTTGAGAATGAATGCGTTTGGCATAAGTCAGTGGCATTGAGACACACCTCATTTCTTAGGAGAAAGACTGTATATACTGCCTACAGAAGGTAACGTAAGGCCAGGCTACCCTCTCAACCTCAATACTTAAATGGGGGTGGGGGGAGATATAATAAAACAAACTACTTCTAAAATCGATCATCTAAAATGGGAGTCATCCTCTGTATTTTTCATCTTTTTCTTTTTTTTAACTTTTTAAAAATATATATATTTTATTGATTTTTTTACAGAGAGGAAGGGAGAGGGATAGAGAGCTAGAAACATCGATGAGAGAGAAACACCGATCAGCTGCCTCCTGCACGCCCCCTACTGGGGATGTGCCCACAACCAAGGCACATGCCCCTGACCAGAATCAAACCTGGGACCCTTCAGTCCGCAGGCCGACGCTCTATCCACTGGGCCAAACCGGTCAGGCCATCTTTTTCTTAATGATTTGTAACAACTGTTTACATATTAAGGTTCTTAACCATTTGTCATATTGTAAATGTTTTTTTTCAACAGTTTATCATTTCTCTTCGCTTTATTTGTGGTGTCCTGTGCCATAATAATTTAAAATATATATATATTGTGAACAAACTATTGCATGAAGTAAAATGTAAATGTTTCCCTTCAGCCTTCCTTCTCTTACCCAAATTTTACCCACCAGCCATTCTCCAGAAATATAACACTACTATGTTTACATATATTTAAAATGTTTCCTCAGCATATATACAATCATATTATTGAAAAATACAAATGGAGTGAATTAGAAGTTATTTTTTATGTTTTATCAGCATCTTTCCATAGCTGGACCTAATTCTCCTTACTGGTTAAATTAATAAATTCCATTGGATGAATTTATTATAGTTTTTCTAATCACATGATTTTTAGACATTTAGATTGTTTCCAGGTTTTCTTTGCTACGGAGAGTGTAGAAATGAATATCTGTATACAGAAGTCTTTGCACAAGTATGTGAATATGAAAATTCTCTAAGATTACAGTTGCTACATCAAAGGGGAGGTGCAATTTAAATTCTCACGGATTTCCTGTCAACAGAATTTGTGTGGAAATGTTAAGAATGAAGGTAGCTAAATCAGTGATGTTCCCTTTATGGATTCCTTGCCTCTGATGTCATGCTAAGGAAGGAACCTTTTCCCATCCCTGTGTTTACTTATAGTAATTTTTAGTTGCTGGTTTGGGGGAATTGTTGCTTATATTTACATCTGTAACTCCTAGGGAATTTATTTTGACTTATACTTTGAGATAGGAATCTGGCTTTGTTTTTGTTGTGTTTTTTCCCAAATGGATAGCCAATTTTCCCCAAAATCATTTATTGAGTAATGTACCCTTTTATCACTCAACTTGAAATGTCAGCTTTGCCATGCACTGAATTCCCACTTAGTCATTCGTGGACACTGTCCCATTACTCATTTTGTTTTTACACTGTGATTACTATAGCCTTATATTCTCTGGACAGTTTTAACAGCAGGCTTCTTCTCAAAGAATGAATGGGAAAGATGACTAACTTTTACTACACTTGGGAAATTAACAAATATGTAGGTATTTTCTGTTTCTTGAAGATTTGATAAGACCTATCTGTGAAACATCTCAGCCTCTAACACTCGTAAGCTATATGATTTCTCTAAGTTGTTGGCATGGTTTTGTTGATTTATCTTTTTCTTAAAAGTATTCATTCCAACCCGGCCAGCTTGGCTCAGTGGTTGAGCTTCAACCTATGAAGCAGGAGGTCATGGTCCATTTCCCAGTCAGGGCACTTGCCTGGATTGTGGGCTCGGTCCTAGTTTAGAGCAGGTACAGGAGGCAACCGATTGATGCTTCTCTTTCACACCAGTGTTTCTCCCTCTCTGTCCCCCCTTGCTCTCTCTCTAAAAGCAATGAAAACATACCCTTGGATAAGGATTAAAAGAAAAAGGATTAACTATACCTTTATTGGTTTCTTTGCTCACTGCAGATAGTTCTTACGTTCCATATCCTCTAATTTTTTTTTGTTTGTTTGTTTGGAGTACTGCCTCGAACAGTTCTTTTCAGGAATAATACATAAGTAGTATACTTTCTCTACCTTTCTGTGTCTGAAAATTCCTTTCTGATTCCCTCACACAGGAATGGAAGTCCAGCTGGATATTTAGAAGTTCTAGGGCCATAGTTCCTCTGGCATTTTGAAAACATTTAGCATCTCATTTTAAGTGTGCTACTTCCCTGATTCTCTCTCTTGTAGGGAACTTTTGCCCTTCTGTCTGAGAGTGCTCTGCCTTTGTATTATTTTGCCTTTACCCCTGGAATTCAGAAATCTGAATCTGAGCACTTTGAAGATTCAAGTTTTTCTTTGCTCAGGAAAATCTTTTGCTTCTCTTATTAATTCCAGCATTGCTTCTCCTAATTCCACTGTGTTTTCTGCTTCTGGAGTTTCCAATTTATGGATAGTGGATCCTCTCATTCTACCCTTCATGTCTCTAATTCCCTTTTTGTTGTGAAGGGGTTAACCTTCTAATGCACCAATTGGCTTTTCAGGAATGTCTGTTCTGCTATGTGTGTGTGTGTGTGTGTGTGTACACACATACACACACACACATACACACACGAGCACTTACTTGTGATAAAACGAGTGGCTTATCCAAGTATACTTTCTATTTCCCATCGGCCCAAGCTTACATGGCATCAATCATCTCAAGTGGAAAAGCACTTTTCCATATATATACATATATATATATATATATATATATATATATATATATATATATATATATATATGGCTTTTATTGAGTTTTTACTCTAGTCATGTTTTTAATTTCCAAGATCAATCTACTTCTCTGATTGGTCTTCCCTCATAGCAGTCTACTCAAGCACTGTCCTCTTCAATCTCACTAAGAAAGCAGGTGACTCTTAAAAAAAAATTCTCCCCCCTTTCTGAATTAATTCACTGGGGTCCTTTGCTTGCCTTGCTCCCCTCTTTCATGCTGCTGATTCTCTACATACATCTGATGAGTTTTCATTTTTCACTCATGTATTCAATAAACTCAGCAGAGCTCTAACATCTAAATATATTAGAACTTTTCCAAAGCTTGCACCGTGGGCCCCCCGACCCAGTGAATTCGGAATGCTCCAGGAGAGCAGTGCTGGGTGCAGTGCTCAAGGTCCCAGGCTGCAGAAGGAGACAGGTCTGTGCTCAGATCTTGGCTCTGCCTCACGCCAGCTTACCTGGTCCCTGTCAGCTCCAGAGGTTGTCCTAGGCGAGCTCACAGAGGGAATAAGGAGGTGCTTGAACAAGCTGGGTAGAACGGTGCACCTTCTGAGTCTTGGAGAGCTCTGTTCATGACCCTGATCCCTCTGGCCAAGTCTACTGCCCTTCCCAGGCCCGTGTTTATATCCCTGGTTCCCAGGGTGAGCACCTGCCCTCCTTGCAATGTGGCATCACACTGTTATCATACTAAAGCTGTTTAGATTTTTTAACATAATTTGTATGCCAGACCATTGCCCTCTCCACACCACCTGATTTCTTCATGCTGCAGAGTGTCACCTAAATCATGCGTCAGATGGTCACAGGAAACAGCTTGGAATGAAGAACCCTCTAGCTCTTCCAGGAAAAGTAGGCCCAACTGTTTAAATTTCCCTTTTTAATTTTCAAAAGTGTGTTTGGTATATACTCTTCTACCTACCGCCCCAGCATAGTCGAGCATAGGGGAGAGGCAGACACCAGGTCCCCTCTGACTCAGAATTTGACATGAACCATGGATAATAATGACCATGGCAGGCGGTGGGGCTCCCCTAGCAGCGGCACCTTCCCCATCACACCTCCACTCCCGTCCCCAGGGTCATAATGCTTTTGAAACACTAAAAAATAGAGTAGCTTCTCCGTCATAAAATAGCTCGGGACCCTCCAACTGAGACAGTGAGCCCAGCTGCCATATTGGGGTTGGGGCTGCACACTGGCCTCCCCGCTCCCTGGGGCCTCGGTCCATCCGATGGCTACAACATGCTTTCCCACTGAGGAAAACATGTATTTAGGCCGTCAACAGGTTACTTTTCTGATCGTTATGACTAAGCACGTTTTGAAAGTCCTTTTCCACTTGAGATGATCGATGCCATGTAAGCTTGGGCCGATGGGAAATAGAAAGTATGCTCGGATAAGCCACACGTTTTATCACAAGTAAGTGCTCATTCAATACCCACGCATTCGGCCATGCAATGCCTGGTGACAGATTCTTCCTCCTGCGACCGTATTGAATGCCGCGTAACATCCTCCAGGGGTACCCATTGCACTTGGGGTCAATCCATGTCCACACCTGGGCCCACAGGGCCCTGCGTGATCCCGCCTGCCTGCCTCCCCGTCGTACCCTGCTGTGCTTTTATTCGCTTTTGCGATACTGGCCTCCTTCCTGTTCTTCAAACAGGCCAACCCCTTTCTAGCTCTGGACCTCTGAGAATCGAGCTTCGAATGTTCCCTTCCCCGTGCCTTTCCCAAGGCTCCATCCCCTCCCAACTCAGCGGCCACCCCTCCAGGGGTCCTCCCAGCCCCCTCTAGCTAAATCACCATCCCATCCCTCATCCCGCAGCTCCCCTTCCTCACACCGCCCTGTTCATTTTCTTCACAGTAATTGCCTCCCCAGTAGAACGTAAGACCCATGGCGGCAGTGTGACCTCCTCTGTCTGAATAGCTGTGTCCCAGCACCTAGAACAGTGCTTCACACATAGTAGGTGCTCAGATCTCTTTTGCATGAATGGACGATTGAATGACCCCTCGCCAGTGTGATAAGACCTAAATGTCCTATTTTAGTCCATCTGTGGGTGAGGCTCGGAAAAGCTGAATAAATTCCTACAACTTGTAAAGAGCTAGTGGTTCAGCCTGGGGCCTTCTGAGCCTTCTGACTCCAAAAGCCCCCTTTTGTACACAAAGGCCAGCGGCAGAGCCTCCGGGAAGACCGGCTCCTGATTGCAGAGTCCGGGGTTCTTCCCACACAGTCTTCTAAGCTCTGGTAGCTCACGAATAACACAGGGAGCAGGGAATCTGTTTTTATCCTTTTAAAGCTCATTCTCTCCCCTACCCCAAGTGGTAGATCTACATTTAACAGTGTTCATGTTGAGAGAATTTGAACCCGGAATAGCAGCCACACTGTGCAGCCTGTGTGTTCTTGACCTCACATGAGTTTCTGGAAAAGGCAAATTGCAATTGAAAAGAATTACTTCTGCTGTGAGGGCTGTTCAGGTGGGAAGAGGACAGAGTGTCCTTACCCCAAGCTAGAGCTTTGTCTGAGCAGAAAACCTGCAGCAATTCTGCCCCCACCTGCCATGGCCCAGGGCAGCCCCCAGAACAGGGACCTGCACAGACGGGTCTGGAGCTGATGCTCTTCAAGAAAAGCAGGACCAAGTGAGCCAAACAATTGGAGGTGTGCAAGAGAACTCTGGTCTCCTAGCCCCCTCTTGTGGGTATTAGGTGTCACTGCAGCCTCTTTCTAAGTCACGAAAGCAAAGGCTTGTACTACAGTGATGGGTCGCTTCTATAAGCCCCACAGGTGCTCTGGGCACCTTGAACACCTTTGGGAGGCACTCCCCACAGAGATTGCACCTCTTTCTCTGAGGCCAGTCTGCTTTCCAAGCTCAAACGGGGAACAGTTTCATTTTGTCCCTAATGTACCATAAGGCAAAGTTGTGATAGGGAGCTAGGAGCCCGGCTGGAGATTCAGGAGACGGGAGTACTGCCTCAAACAACGCAGGTGCGTTGCAGGGAGACCTGGTTCAGGCTGTGCTGGCCCCGCCCCCTGAGTAGGTGTGAAGACCACAGGGCTGGCTGCACCACCAGGCCCTTCCCCAGTGTTCAGTCCTTGTGGTCTGACATCCCATGCAGGAGACAATGAGAGATTTGCTCAAGGGCCTCAAGTGAAAGCTGGGACCCTTACCTCCCGGTGTCTGACCACTGTTGGAATGGGTTTCCTGGGCGGTTTCTCACGGGGCAGGCGTGAGGGATCGGTGCCCAGAGCCCAGCTTTCCTCTGATGGGCATGTTGGCATTTACATGGCGGTGTGTAAAGCACATTTAACCTGACTTTGGTAACTCCGGCCAATGTCCTGCCTAAAAGAATATACAAAATAAGCCCGGGTCGATTAGAGTGGCCGCCTGCGGACCAGAGGGTCGCAGGTTGGATTCCTGGTCAAGGGCACGTACCTTGGTTGCAAATTTGATCCCCAGCCCCGGTCGGGGTGCATGTGGGAGGCAGCCAATTAATGTGTCTCTCTCACATTGATGTTTCTCTCTCCCATCCCCCCTTCTTCCTCCCTTCCACTCTCTCTCTTAAAAAAAATAGAAAAATATCCTTGGGTGAGGATTAACTATATATATATATATATATATATATATATATATATATATATATATATACACACACATATATATATGTATATATATATATATAAAAGAGCCAGGGGGCCGTCACATCCGAAACAACCGAACAGGTTGAGTCGGGTGACAAAGGGCTGGCAGGGGGGTTAGTGAGGGACAACCAAACGACTGAGCTGCAGGCTGTGTGGGGCAACCAGGCCAGCAGGAGGGGCACTAAGGGGCGACCAGGCTGGCGGCGGCGGCGGGGGTGGGGGAGTTAGGGGCGACCAGGCCGGCAGAGGGAGGCTGTTGGGGGCTACCAGGCTGGTAGGGGGGACAGTAAGGGGCGACCATGCTGGAAGGGGGGGTAGTTAGGGGCGACCAGGCTGGTGAGGGGGCAGTTGGGGGCGACCAGGTTGGGGGGGGCGGTGCAGTTAGAGGTGATCAGGTTGGCAGGTGAGCAGTTAGGAGCCAGCAGTCCCGGATTGGAGAGGGTGCAGGCTGAGGGGACCCCCCCCCCCCCCGTACGATTTCGTGCACTGAGCCTCTAGTATATACATAAAATCAGACATATTCCTGTTTCCCAGGACTATTTGTGAGGGATTAAAAGTGTTTCAGAGTAGGATGTAAAGTATCTGTCACAGTGCCTAGTGCAAGTAGTTTTCCAATAAAAAAGACAGCTCCTTTTAAATGTAATTCCCCAAAAAGCCGGTTTTCTTCTATACACATCTGCCCTCCTGTCCCCCTGCCTCCCCTTCCCCACGCTCACACACGTGTATTTATTCTTTCTCTTCCTCCTTCAATCTGTTTTTAAGTTTCTATTATCTCAGCCTCCCCATTCCTTCTGAAACGCTGTGATGAGCTCACTGATCTGATTTCCCAGGAGCATCTCTGCTTGTTCTGTGTGACTCCTTGCATCGTGTGGGTGTGGGGGGGGAGTGGGAGGGTGGGGGGAGGGGGAGGGGGAGGGGGCGGGGGCGTGCGCACGCGTGTACTCGCTCCCGTGATAAGTTCCTAGGAGTTAAAAACACCTCAGCTAAACCCTCGGCCGGCCCAGCGCTCTGAAGGGGAAGGCGGTGCAGGGCTCCCAGTGCTGCAGGGAGGTGTGCGGTGGGACCGGGAGCCTGTGTTGCCGGCGGTAACCTTGCTGCCCCGGGTTTGGTGAGTGTCCCCGAGGGCACCGCTGACTGGCCCTTTCTCTCCTGCTGCAGAGCCACTCCGGATACTTCTCCAGCCTGTACCCCCCTCACCAGTTCAGCCCGTTCCCGCATCATCACTCCGTAAGTGCCCCTCGCTTCAGCCCATCCACCCCTCCCCTCGCCTGTGGCTGGCACCACGTCGTCCTGGCGGGCTGACCGGTGAATGTTCGTGGTGTGAGTGCCGGGCGCTGTGCTCCAGGTCGCCCTGGAATGGCCCACCACAGGGGTCCGCGCGCCCGGCCTGCGCTCTAGTGCGCAAAGGCTCCTCAGTGCGCTGGTGCTGTCCGGCTCAACGGCCTGGAATGCTCACAGGCCTGTGGGTGCCGGTGCGAAAAGTGGCGCGAATGAGTCATCAGCGGGTCAAACCAGGAGGCTGTGTTGGGCTGAAGACCAGAGTTCTCAGAGATCTTTGAACAAAGTCTGGCGAACGGGGTCCTTTTATTTCTGTGAACCCCGTGGCACAGACCCCTGTGGCCTCGCCCACGTCTCTGGGCTGTCACCAGGCGGCTGGCCAGGCACCGTCTAGTGGAAATGCCGTTCCGGCTGCAAGGCGGCCGGGCAGCGGGCAGCGTCTTGTTCCCGCCGACACAGCCTCCCAGCCCCGCGTCAGACCATCCATTTCATGGATTTCTTGGCTGGAGACGGGCAAACCACATAATCCCATTTGTCTGTGGCAGAAAACCTGTGAATGGACGGCTTCCTGTGTCCAGCAAACGGGGTGATAGGTGCCCAGGAGGCCTTTGCCTTTTGAATGGCGCGTGGTGCTTGCTTGCGTTCAGGTTCCTTCTGCAGGCGTCACACCCACAGAGCTCTAGGCCCCCAAAGAATCCGGGCGCCACTGGGGCCATCTTCTTGGTGGTGGGGCCACCCCACCAGGTGGCCCATGGTGGGTGGCGGGTAAGTTCCTGCAGGAGCCACCCCCTGGGAAGGCCTCTGTCTTGTCTTGCCCTTCCAGTACCCGGAGCAGGAGATCGTGAATCTCTTCATCCCAACCCAGGCCGTGGGGGCCATCATCGGGAAGAAGGGCGCGCACATCAAGCAGCTGGCTCGGTTTGCGGGCGCCTCCATCAAGGTAACGCCTCTCTCCATAGCGTCTGTGCCCCACCCACTTCCTCCACCACCACCATGTTCCTGCTGTCAGTCCCCAGGATGGCAGCTCCTGCACCATCAGGGACAGAGTCCCACAGGATCGGGACAAGTCGCCTACAGAACTTTCCCGCCCGCTCTCATCTTTACCTCTCTCATTCCTTTTCTGTCCAACTAACAACTGCATTAGAAACGACATGTGTGGCAGAGGAGCCACCCAGTTCTCTGGGTGACCAGTGTCCTGCCCTGAAAGGCTGAGGACTTTTCCAAACTAAGGGAGTGAACTTAGTGGAGCAGCCGTTCATGCCGAGCAGGTCAGCGCGTTGAGGCTTTAACTTAGTCTCCACTTCACAAACCCCCGAACTTGGAGAAAGTAGTTGGAATGAAAAACCCTTTGAAAAGCAGCGGGCGATAAACAAGAAGCCGGTGGCATGACCTGACAGGAAGCCCTGGGACTGCAGAGAGCACAGGAAGGAAGGCCCTTGACCGATGGGAGGGGCCCGAGTGCAGGCGTCGCTGCAGTTACACACCCACATCCTGCCTCCTGGAGCACAAGGTGCAGATTGGTCAGGGAAGCTGAAAGGGAAGGGTTCCTCGGCCCTGGTCCTGCTCCAAGCCCAGCTATCAGCTCGGACTCTCAGGCAGCATGCTGAGCACGTCCTGAGCCTCATGAAACACTTTCGGAAACAGAGGTTCCATTGTTACCTAAAATAATGTGCTGCCATGCGACAACCCGGAATTCCGCACCACAGGTCTCGTGACTGGGGAGAGAACGCCTGCACTTTCGCCGAGAAGAGCTGGATCTCTCCCACAGCAAGTGTGCTGCAGAGGAAAACCCAGGCACAACCGCTGAGTCGGGCAGAACAAGCATTGCAATGCGGGCATTAAGGAATTTGTTTTAGGGAAATCCTTTCCCCTCCCAGGCCTCGTTTACCCCACCTGTGAAGTAGACAGGATGAGAGCCCTGGGGGTGGGGGTGGGGGTGGGGGGAGACAGTGGTGGATCACGGGGGGGGGGGGGGGGGGTCTTTGCACCCAGCAGGTGCGTTGCAGGGAGACCTGGTCCAGGCTGTGCTGGCCCCGCCCCCTGAGTAGGTGTGAAGACCACAGGGCTGGCTGCACCACCAGGCCCTTCCCCAATGTTCAGTCCTGTGGTCTGACATCCCATGCAGGAGACAATGAGAGTATTTCAACTAAATCCTCCCTTTTTTCCCCTAAGGGAGAGTTGGAGGTAGAGGCAGCCAAGGCCGGCAGGGACAGGACTGGCTCTTAGGTGTAAATTTTGAGCACTTACGGGGCCAATGACAGAAGTTAGAAACTGGGACCCAGATATTGATGAAGGCTGCAAAGCTAAAGAATGTGAGTGTCGCCCTAGCCTGTTTAGCTCAGTGGATAGAGCGTTGGCCTGAGGACTGAAGCATCCTGGGTTCAATTCTGGTCAAGGGCACATGCCTGGGTTGCAGGCTCGATCCCCAGTAGGGGGCGCTCAGGAGGCAGCTGATCAATGATTCTCTCATCATTGATGTTTCTCTCCCTCTCCTTTCCTCTCTGAAATCAATAAAAAATATATTTTAAAAAAAAGTAATGTAAATGCCAAGATTTTACCAGGTTACGCTATTTTTCTGGTCCAGTGTTTTTCCGTTTGTCCACCTGAGTGCTAGAGCAGAATCACTCCCAACAGTCCTTCCTGAAAATGAGAGAGAGCTCAATCCCTTGGGCTTCCCCACAGCATCCCCACAGCCTCTCTACACCCAGAAAGCCTGAGTGGTGGCGCATCTCTGAGGATGGCCTCTGTGATAGGCAGAAACAGGGCTGCCCCAGGGACAGGACGGGCTCTGCAGCCTGGCAGCGTGTGGATGCTCCCTATGCTGGGCCAACACCCTGCTCCTTCCCTAGCCCTGCCTCTCTCCAGCGCGTAGGGAAGAGGAGAGAAAACCAGGGAAGCGAAGTATATGTGAGAAATTGCCCCCTTTTCCAAATCAACCTGGTCTTTGCTGGATCCCCTTTATCCCGAGTTTCTGAAAGCATCTGTCTCTAAAGCAAGACTCACACCAGAGGAGCCCGTTCCTCGCCTCGCCAGTCCCCAGAGTCCACACCAGGGCACGTCGGGAGAGCTTTCCACTAACCAGTACCCGGAAAGGATGGGTAGAGCGGAGGTGGGGGAGGTGCACCCCAAGACTGCTCTGGTTACATGCAGGCAAGAGCTGAGCTCCCCCTGCCTCCCTGCATAGCACCTGGTCCGCAGGCTTCAGATGCCACACACAACCCGGACACCCAGACCCTGGTCTTGCTGCAGCCCCGGCTCACCCTGTGACCTTGGCAGTCACCTCACTTGTCTGGGTCCCATTTGCTTCAGTCATAAAATGAGGCCTTTCTGCCTGGCCCTCCAGAGGGGCCTGTAGAACGCCATCCTGAAACCTCAGGTCTGGGCTGGTGAATGCCAGGCAATTGAGGGGTGGGAGTTTCTCGCAGAATCTGAGCAAGGCAGGCACGGGCCACTAGGAAGTGAACAGGCCGGCAGACCTGATTTGGTCAACGGGCGCCGAGAATTAGCCCTTCAGCCATCTCCGGGCCGCGCCTGCTCTAGGTCGGCTGTCGCATGCGGCGGCTGCCTCTGGGCGCTGAGACTTAGCACCGCGGTTACTTTCCTGCAAGCTGGCTGCACGTGGAGGCCTCTATGGACCAGTCCTTCCTCCCCTCTAGGCCCTGGGTCAGTTGGCACAGTCTGTCCCTCCCTTTTCCTAGAGCTTTTGACTCCCTTAGTGACAGGAGGCCAGGCTCACTGGTGCTCGGGGCAGGGACAGGCAGTGACTACTGGCCTGCTGCCAACTCTCCCTGGGCAGCCAAACACCCAGTGACTTCCTGTGTCCCAGCGTGGAGGCAGGGGTAAGACGAAACAAAGGTGGGAGCCCTGAACTCTCTTGCTGGTGTGTGTGCCGTCCACTGAGACGAGGAGGGGCTGGGGGTGCAGCTGAGCGCAGCATGGTCCTGTCCTTGTGACCTGCAGATTGCCCCAGCGGAAGGCCCCGACGTCAGCGAAAGGATGGTCATCATCACCGGACCGCCAGAAGCCCAGTTCAAGGTCAGTGCGGTCTTGGGAGGTGGCGGGAGCAGCGCCCCACGCCTGTGCACGGCTTCCCTGGGGCTGGGTGTGCAGCTGCTGGCTCCCCATTCCCGCAGCCACACTGTGCAAGCCGGGGACTGGCAGCTGTGCGACCGTCCGACATGTCTCGCTCTCTCAGGCTCAGGGGCGGATCTTTGGGAAACTGAAAGAAGAAAACTTCTTTAACCCCAAAGAGGAGGTGAAGCTGGAAGCCCACATCAGAGTGCCCTCTTCCACTGCTGGCCGGGTGATCGGCAAGGGCGGCAAAACCGTGAGTGTGCCCAGATCTGGCTTCATCTCGGGGCTGCCTCTCCGCCCGGCCTCACTCCCCTCAGACCCCGTTGGCTCTGCAAGAACCAAATGTAATGGGCGTCACTCGGAGCCGAGGGCCCCGATCCATGGTGCTGCTAGAGCCCAGTGTGTGTGCCCAGGAGCACCGCCTCGGGACCTGCCGGGAGGGTCTCCACCCCCTGGCACCGGAGGCTGCCTCCTGCCGCTCTATATCCACACGCGCAGCAGGAAATGGACAGGAAACTGACAGGGAGGAGAGCCCCACCCGCGCACACCCCTTCTGCAGACCACCGTCTGCACTGAATTTCACGCTCCAGGCCTGCGGCCTTGAGTGTCGTACACGCTCTCTACTCTTTAAACTCTCCCCACAGATGCCCAGAGGCCCTGACTCTCCCTCCTGCAGATTCGGTCTTCCGGTTATTTCCCAAACCTGGCCGTCTGCAGCCCGGAGTAGTTTAGCAGCAGGGCGGTGGGTGAGAAGGAAATTGTTTTGTAATAAAATATTCAAGGTTTTAGCCTGAAGGTGGCAATACCACAAATGCAATTTGAAAAGCAACAGAGAATGAACTCTGCAGCCTTGAGACATGAGCCGGTCACCAACCCCAGGTGTGTTCTAGAGCGCAAGCTACCCGCCAGGAAGGGACACGGCTCTGGGATGTTCCCGGCCTGTGCTGGCTGGCCGAGTGTCGTTCTAGCCCAGTGATGGCGAACCTTTTGAGCTCGGCGTGTCAGCCTTTCGAAAAACCCTAACTTAACTCTGGTGCCGTGTCACATACAGAAATTTTTTGATATTTGCAACCGTAGTAAAACAAAGACTTATATTTTTGATATTTATTTTATATATTAAAATGCCATTTAACAAAGAAAAATCAACCCAAAAAATGAGTTCGCATGTCACCTCTGACACGCGTGTCATAGGTTCGCCATCACTGTTCTAGGTGGCAGGGATTCGGGAGGTTGCTGTGGGCCTGAGTGAGTGTGAGTGTGTGTGTGTGTGTGTGTGTGTGTACGCGCGCTGTTTTCTTTATATAAAAACTCTTCAAGGAATCACAGGTAGAATGATTTACCTTTAGGCAAAAGAGTGAAGCTGTGTGGCATGCGTGTTGCTCCCCACATCCAACTATGCAAGTTGGCGTGCAGTGGGCAAAAGGAAGCAGATAAGAGCGGTTCTCAACCTGTGGGTCGCGACCCCTTTGGTGGTCAAACGACCCTTTCACAGGGTTGCCTAAGACCATCCTGCATATCAGATATTTACATTACGATTCATAACAGTAGCAACATTACAGTTATGAAGTAGCAACGAAAATGATTTTATGGTTGGGTCACAACATGAGGAACTGTATTTAAAGGGCCAGAAGGTTGAGAACCACTGAGATAAGACCACAAGGACGTAGACTCCTGCGTCCTTCAGGGTCCTATTTGGTCATTTTAGAACCAGTCACTGAATTCTGTGTGCACCCCTCTCCCCTACTGTCAACTGTCCATCCTACGTGTGTGTGCTCAGCTCGGACAGGGCCGAGGCCGTGGCGCAAACCCTCAGGAGTGTGGTGCTACTGCGGCGGGTGAGGGGGCTGAGATAAGGCAGGACCCACAGCCTAGAGGCCTCACAAGGAGGTGGGCCTGGCAGAGTGGCAGGGAGAACACAGTCACCTCGGGTAGGAACAGCATGAGCAAGACTCAGAGGCAAGAATGAGAATGAAGGGTCCTTAGCTGTCCAGCAGTGATTTCATCCCTGGGTTATTGGGATCCTGGGGTCCCAGGGAGCGTGGGTGGGCACCACACTGGTGAGAACTGCAGAATGAAAATTCTGCCCCATGGAGCAGCTCCATGGACTCAGGGACTGTACTCCCTTTCCTTGTCCTGGAGCCTCCCGGAGTCCAAACCAGCAGGGCCCCAGGTGACCAGGGCGGGGAAGGCCCAGGAGCGTGCCAGACTGAAGGGAAGGTGGGCACCTCCACCTCCTTGCTCACCACTCCCCCGCTGCCCCCTGAGCCCACCTTTCTCCCTCCCAGGTGAATGAACTGCAGAACCTAACCAGCGCAGAAGTCATCGTGCCTCGTGACCAAACGCCGGATGAAAACGAGGAAGTGATCGTCAGAATTATTGGGCATTTCTTTGCGAGCCAGGTACTGTGCTGGGAGGGTCTGGTCTTTCTTGCCAGTCTCTTTTCAACTCTGACTAAGCTAGTGGTGGCCCATCAGGAGGCCACCGCCCCTGCATATACCCATCGCCCCAACCCCGTCCCGAGATGGAACCTCTCCCTGGCCCTTCAGGCATCACCGCAGGGCAGGGCGGCTGTTCCGCACCTGCTCACCACCCTGTCCCCCGGCATGCCACAGGACGCTGAGGGTAGGACTTAGTAGTCAAGCCAAGCACATTTCAAGCCCCGAAATGCTCAAGTGTGAGGACTCAGCTCCCCTCCTCCTCTTGCTCCCCTCGTCCTCCTGCTCAGGCCCGACAGCCTTCCTCCGCTGGGAGACATACCCAGAAGGGCCCACCCTTAGGGTTCCCGACTGCACCCTGAGAACCAACCTGGGTGCCAAAATCTCACCATTCAATGCTCATTACAGCAGACTCTCCTCTCTCTTACCTCTACTTTTCCAAGTCACTACCACCACCACCACCCCCCCCCCTCAGGACACAGGGCCTCCATACAGCTGCTTCTCGTTTATGCAGAAGGGCCAGCTCTTTGATGCTTTTTGTTGGTTGGGTTTTGGGATCGAGAAATCTCGGTCCTTGTCTTAAGCCCATGAAGGCAGTCGAAGCTAAGCTGACATCCAAGCCTGCTCTCCCAAGGCTGTGCCTTTTTAAAATATATATATATTTATTTTTATTGATTTCAGATAGGGAGAGAGAGAAACATCAATGATGAGAGGGAATCATTGAACGGCTGCTTTCTGCAAGACCCCTACTGGGGATCGAGCCCATAACCCAGGCATATGCCTTTGACCGGAATTGAACATGGGACCCTTCAGTCCACAGGCTGACACTCTGTCCACTGAGCAAAACCAGCCAGGGCTGTGCCTTTGCCTAGAGAGCTGACTGTCCCTGGAGAGCAACTGCCACTTCGGCTGCCCCACCCCAGCGCCCCCAGTGCCCCCAGTGTCTGAGCCACAGGTTCCTGCAGTGGGTGGGCAGCACTGGGAGCCGCGTGTGTAGTTGGGAGGGGGGTGCTCTCTGACCTCCGCAAGGTCCCCTGGTCACTGGTTTCTGCTTCCTGGCCTGTTTGTCCAGCAATTAGCTGGAAGCTTTTGGTGTTCTACCCCCTCACCCTTGACCCAGCAGCCTTGAGGTTGAGTGGTGGTCGGGGGGGACTCTGCCACTTTACTTCCAGGCAGAGAAGGACCCGTAGTAAGGGCTTTAGTGGGTGGGTGACACTTTGCCCAGCTTAGCACCTCCTTTCCCCAAGGCTCAGCCCACCCCCATCGCTCATCCTGAGAACTGGGTTCCTTTTCTCCGCTCACCCCCTCTCCCGCTGCAGACCGCACAGCGCAAGATCAGGGAAATCGTACAACAGGTGAAGCAGCAGGAGCAGAAATACCCTCAGGGAGTCGCCTCACAGCGCAGCAAGTGAGGCTCCCACAGGCACCAGCAAAACAACGGATGAATGTAGCCCTTCCAACACCTGACATCACGAGACCAAACACAGCCAGCCAGATCGGGAGCAAACCAAAGACCATCCTGAGGAATGAGAAGTCTGCGGAGGCACAAGGGCTCTGCAGAGGCCCTGAGGACCTGGTGGCCAGGAGAAGGGTTTGGGGGAGGCCGGCGGCTCACGGCCCAGCCTCCCGCCTCCCCGGGCCTCTGCAGGCTGCCCAGCCATCCACTTCACCGCCCACTCGGATCTCTCCGTAACTCCCACCACGCTATCCCTTTTAGTTGAACTAACATAGGTGAAGGTGTTCAAAGCAAAGCAAAATTCACTTTCCTTTTGTGGAAAATTGTCTCTGTACATGTGTGTACATATTAGAAGGGGAAAGATGTTAAGATATGTGGCCTGTGGGTTACACAGGGTGCCTGCGGCGTTAATATATTTTAGAAATAATATATCAAATAACTCAACTAACTCCAATTCTTAATCAAGTATTAATTTTTTTTCTTTTTAAAGAGAAATCAGGCTTTTCTAGACGTTAAAGAATCAAGTCATTCTTTGGGAGGTCTAATGGTTTAATAAGGAGCTTCAAGGCCACCCACACAAATCCACCCAGAGGGAAATCTGGTCAGGACACTCGCGGCAGCTCCGGGTCACCTGTGTACGTCAACAGAAGGGATACCGTCTTCATCCCTGTCGAGCTCACACCCATTTCTCTCTGCTTCACGGGTTTTAAACTGGTTTTTGCATACCGCTCTATGTCTGTCTCTGTTTATCCCTCCCCGTCCATCCTCCCTCCCCTCCTTCTCCACACCCATCCTTTTAGTCCCCACACCCCCTGCCTCAGTCCCACTCTCTATGCACCCCCAGGCAAAGCAGTGCTCTGAGTATCACATCACACAGAAGGAACAAAAGCAAACACACAAACCAGCCTCAACTGACACTTGAACAGAACAAGAGTCAATGGTACTTGTCCTAGCTTTTCGGAAGAGGAAACAGGAACCCATCGAACCAACCAAAACAAAGAAAAACCCCCGCAAAGAAAGAGTATATTTTGTCTTTTTTACATTTTGGTGTATAAGCCATCCATTTTCAGCAAAATGATTTCTTTCTTTTGAAAAAAAAAAAATGTGGAAGAAAATAGCAATTTACATGAGGTCGTTGGCCCAGGGCGTTAAATTTACAGATTTTTTTTAAAAGAGAAAAACACACAAAAAAAGCTACCTCAGGTGTTTTTTACCTCAGCACCTTGCTCTTGTGTTTCCCTTAGAGATTTTGTAAAACTGATAGGAGCATTTTTTTATTTTTTTAATAAAAATGAGTTGGAAAAAAAATACAATATCAGCTGCCAGCCCGGAGAAGGTGACGGTCCAAGTGTGCGCCACCCGCTGTGCGTCGCCTTCCGCCAGCCAGGAGCCCACGTGGCCTTCTTTTGGACAAACCTTGAAAACGTTTATTAAAAAAGAAAGATGACCAAGAGACACAGAGAAGATGTTGGAGATGTCCTGAATCTCACTAGGGTACGTGCCATTAGGGCTTTTGCGCTAAAGGATGGACATGTACTGGTTTCTGTGAACAAGCCATTTTACCATCAGACTGCAATGCCAGTTTCCTCTACTGCAAACAGTGTTCTGTGACAAAAACAAAAACAAACAAACAAAAAAAAGAAATATATCCAGCTAACAAGATCCTGGTGTCTTGGTCTCTTATTTCGAGAAGCATCGCCTGTCCCAAGGGGTCAGCCGAGTTCCAGCTCTGAGGGGCTTGGGAAGCGGGTGGCAGGTACCTTTAGGACTGGCCAGCTCCTCCCAGGAGGTGGCTGGGAGAAGCTAAGTGCAGTCACCAGACCAGCAGCAGCATTAGCTTCGGGGAACTTTTTAGAAATGCAGGTTCTTGGGGTCCACCTTGAATCAAATTCTGGAGGTGGAGCCCCACAGTCCGTTTCAGCAGGCCCTCCAGGTGACTCCCATTGGTGCTCAAATTTGAGAACCACAGAACCAGAGGGATGGGCTGTGTATCAAGCGAGGTAAGACCAGCCTGTCTTTTTTTTAAAAAAATATATTTTATTGATTTTTTACAGAGAGGAAGGGAGAGAGATAGAGAGTTAGAAACATCGATGTGAGAGAAACATCGATCAGCTGCCTCCTGCACATCTCCCACTGGGGATGTGCCCGCAACCCAGGTACATGCCCTTGACCGGAATCGAACCTGGGACCTTTCAGTCTGCAGGCCGACGCTCTATCCACTGAGCCAAACCGGTTTCGGCCGCCTGTCTTTAATGAACTTGACACCTGGCCAGGGAAGGAGAAGAGGGAGGATAATGGGCCTGACAAGTCAAGGGAAGAGGTACTTCCCTGCTCCCCAGAAACCACACTGGAAGTGTTCCAGGAGATCTGAACAGGCGGATGAGAGCGGCCCTGTTCCCTTTTTGAGCCCATGTTCATAGAGCTGTGGGCTCTGCCAGAGATTGCTGGCTGCTGAAAGCCCAAGCAACTCAGGAATGAAGAGTTGGTACTTGACCGCCAGGGGTGGTCAGTCAAGCTTTTTGGGGTGACCACTCAAAGCCCAGCAGGGACAGGCGGAGGTGAACTGATGAGTTCCACAGTGGCCACATCCCCCTTCTAACAAACTGAGGGCTCCTAGCTCACTTAAAATGTGTTCTTTGCCTATGTCCCATCCACACTCCTGATTTCCCTTTTATTTTTAGTATCTGTGATGCTGATTTTAAAGTTTTTTGTGTAGAAGCCAGCGGTTCCTCTCACTGCTGTGGTTGGCATGGACATGGGCAGGAACATGCTATCCCCTCATGTGGCCATTAGAAACCCAAGTATCTGTGGCTTCATCTCCCTCCCCACTCAGGCCTCAAGCCCACTGCCCTCAGAAGAGGAAATGGAACATAGTCTGCTGGCCCGAGAGAAGCCGGGGCTCCTGACAATCGGGGTTATTTCTGAAAACCTTTCCCCTGGTTGAGGTGTGCATGTCAGATGAACAGCCAGAGAAACGGCACACCCTTAAAGGAAGGGCCTTAAATGTAGGCCCGAGGGCTTGGTGATGGATCTGTGAGGATGCGGAGCAATCAGCAGGAGAGGAGGCATAACGCAGGACCCCTCTTGGCTCTGCTGCTCAGATTTCCTTCCTTGGCCTTTATTCAGGTGGCAAAATTGGAGGTTCAACTCCAGCTCCTAAGCTGCCCGTTTCCAAAATATGTGTCTGAACATATGAGAGACAAGTGAGGAGGTGCTAACAGACGCCCTGCTTGCCATGGGACAAAGCACCCAGAAGTGGTCCCAAGGTTGCAGCAACGGAGGGAGCCACACGGAGAGGCAGACGGCAGGAATGAGGCCAGCAGGCTTGTTCCTAGCCAAGGTGTTCTCTCTGCCCTTTTTCTGAGAGCCCGGGTGCTGGGTTGTTTGGCACTTGATGCAGGCACTTCTGAGCTTCCCCAGGGCTGCGTGAGCTGAGACCACCCTTTACAGGACGGGGCCTACCCCGTCTTACCTACATAAGAGCAGCCGCCTGTGTGTGCCTCATTCCTACATGTGGACTCAGGCAAACTGTATTTCTTCTATAAATCCCAGACTTTTTCTGTCTTGACAAGACATCCTGACATCCCAGAAAGTCCTAATTGAGCATGATTTTATGAAAAAAATTAAATGGCAGTTGTTAAATGGAGACTTAGGTCAATACCAAATGTTTTGAAATTCATTAGCCTCCGAGACTCAAAAAGCCCCTCCCTGATCCTTTGGATTGACCCCCTTGAAAACCCGAGACCCACAGTGGGTTTGCATGTGCTAACATCTCCTAGGAATGGTAAGGAGGCCTGAACACCCCTTCTGTCCTAGTTACCTCCCCTGCTGCCCCAACTCTGCACCAACTCTGCCTTGAGATGACGACTCCAACAAGGAGTTCTGGACGGGAAGGATGGCAGGCTGGCGGCAGAGCAGAGGAGAACTTACAAACTTGAGAAAAGGGAGAATCGATAGAGGTTTAGGGGGGTTTCAACCAAGAACCAAAGGAAATGAGTAACCATAGATAGAAGGCATCTTGACAGGATGGGCAAAGGTGGGGAAAACACTGGACTTCTAAGGGAAGCAGGGAAAACTGATAGATAACCTGGCTTCCATTTGGGATGGAAGTGACTCAGTGACTGAGTAGACAGATACGCAATAAGGACTGGAGTATGACAAGCTCTTGGCATAGTCATTCCTACATCCCTGGGGAAGGAAGTAGGCAAGAGAAGCATCCCCATGGTAACAATTATGAAAAGCCCACACCGTAGGTATTGAGAGATTAGCTTGAATTGTATATGCATCCAAATCTCTCATTGTCTACAGCCTGATGGAGATTTCTTTGTCCTGCTACCACTAATGTCAAATAACATGACTAGCAAATTCCCGTCTACTGTCAATTTTTGCTGCTGCTTTTTCTTTCCTCTCAACATTCCCTTTAAGGTGCGTGCTGGTGAATTAAAATTTAAGACATCCTGCATATGGGCTAATTTTCTATTCTAGCTCACATCAGCCACATCCAGATGCTGTCTTTCTAGAAGCCAGGAGTGTTAATAGCTCTCTCAGGAATAGCTGGTATAAAGAGAAAACCTCAGAGAACAGAATTATACTCCAGCTTAACCTCAACGCTCCTTGTATTCTCTTGTGAAAGCAAGATGCCCAGATGCAAGGCGGTTTGTTCCCATGGGTGACTGGGGGCACTGCCTCTAATCTCAGATGTGGCTGACAAACAAGAACATTCCCATTTGCCTCCAGTAACCTTCAGTGATCAGGACAACCAAAGGCAATTTACATATTTTATTTGGAGCCGGTATTAGTTTCTTGAGATTGCTGTGGCCACCACAAATTTGATGGATTAAAACAACAAATTTATCTTCTTACGGTCCTGGAGCCCCAAGTCCAAAATCAAGGTGTCAGCTGGGCCATGTTCCCCCAAAGGCTCTGCCAACTTGGGTGGCTCCAGGCTTTCTTGGCTTGTGGAAGGAATACCCCAGTCTCTGCTTCCAGTCTCATTGCCTCCTCTTTCCGTTAAAAACAAACAAAACAACCTCCAAACTCGTTTATAAAGTAACAGAGCCTGCCCAGACCACCGTTACTATAACACTGGGTGTCTTTCTCCAGATTTTGTTTTAGATGCATAAACAGATTTCCCCCCACAAAAAATGGGTATAAAATATCAAGTGCCTAGGCCCATCTTATTGCCTCCTCTTCTGTCTCAAAACTCCCTCTGCTTTTCTCTTATTTGGCATGTAAATGCACTTAGGGCCTACCCAATAACCCAGGGTAAATTCCTCAAGCAGTGTGGTGATTGCGGGGTGATGGGGGGGCGGGTAGAAGCGGGTATGGGGGGGGGGGAATGGTGACGGAAAAATAAAGTAATACAGATTCCAGGGATTGATATGGACTTATGTTCTCAGAGGCCACCATTCAGCCCACTGTATATATCCAGGTTAGAAGACTATAATAAAGTATTTTTTAAACAGAGAAATTTGAATATGGACTGAGTATTAGATGATATCACCAATTATTAATTTTGTTAGATGGTAAAAATAACATGGGCTTTTTAAAAGTTAGGGAGACATTCTTAAGTATTTAGCTAGAATGACATGTCGGGGTTTTGCTTTAAAATACTCCAGGCCCTCTTGTCCCCTCTGAATAAAAGGTGAGTAAAGATGAGCCACATTTGCCCAGATGGTGTGGCTCAGTGGTTGAGCTCTGACCCACGAACCAGGAGTTCACCGTTCAATTCCCGGTCAGGCACATGCCTGGGTTGCAGGCTTGATCCCCCGGAAGTAGCTGATCAATGATTCTCATCATTGATGTTTCTCTCTCTCCCCTCTTCTCCCTTCCTCTGTCTGAAATCAATAAAAAACATTAAAAAAAAAAAAAAGATGAGCCATTTACGGTAATGATTGTGTATCTTATAAAATGTAAGTCAATGACTATAATCTCTTGTGCCAGAATAAGTCCAAGTATCAATGAGTGATTTTCCCCTGATTTTATTGCTATACATAACTTGTCAGAAATTTTATTTCTAAGAATTTCTCCTAAGAGCATAACCCAAATATTGTGCAGTGTGGTGTGTGCAACAATACTGGATTAAATAATTTACGTTATAGCCATACACTGCAAAAGTATGCTGCTATTAAAATGTCAATATTTATTGACATGAAAATATGGTCAAAATAAATGGAGAGGGGTTATATAGCCATATATCGTATCAGTCCATATTTGTTAATAACAAAAATATATACATGCGCAAGCATACACAACACACAATTACACATAAGAAGGAGTATATGCTAAAGACCACGATTTATACCAAAATGTTAACACAATGTTATTAACTCTGGATGGTGAGTTTGCAAAATTCTTATTCTTTACCTTTGAGCAGTATTTTTTTTTCTGCTATGAACACCTCATACAGATACAATTGAAGTATAAGTGAGAACCACAGACTTTAGGATCACCATATGATCTTCAGGAGGCAATATGTGTGCTTGGGGTAGGAAGCAACACTTGCTTCCAAGAACTGTGTTGCCTCTCCTGACACTTTCCAAAGTATATCCATACAGGTTCCACGAGTGTCACAGGAAGGGCCAAGTGTCCCAACTTTTCAGAAATGGTTGATTAAGACAGTAATTCATTCTGTTGACTATGCATCACTTGGCACACATTCATTGAGCCATAGAATGCTTTGATCTGCATCCTACATAGATTAGGACTTTTACTTAACATATTTTAGGAAATATCAATGTGAAACCCTAAAGAACAAGGACTATTTATACCCCACATTTCTGCTGAGCTTCTGGCCTGTTTTCTCAGGTTGATTCATCTCAAAACAGCCTCATATTTATCACATCTTTGCAGTCTCAAGCTTTATAGTTTTAAATATAATTTGCATCTTGCTGCCAGTTCATTTAGAGCAGTGTTTTTCAAACTGTGGATTTCCATCTATTAGTGGGTTTAGGAATCAACTTGGTGGTCACAATGCACATTTTTAAAATATCAAGATAAAATTCAGAGGGTAGTAAGAATAAGTCATGTTTTTGTAAAACTTGTGTCCACATATACTCATGACACACAATATGAAATACATTTATTACTGAGTTGCAATAAAAAAAAGTGAAAGCCAACGAATTAAAGAGATTAATTTATTGGGGAATAGATAAAATGAACACCTATTTCAAACACCCAAACCCTTTCCTTGTATATATTTGGTAAATTTAAATTAAAAAATTATCAAAGGAACATAGTAAGCTAGATCTCCAACTTAAAAACAAGTACCAAAAGTTTAAATACTGGTTCCTTAAAGTTTTTCTCAAACTACCATAAAGAATTTAGATTCTCAATTAGTTCACAAAAGCCAATTTAAACAATGTAGCTGCACTACAGTACTAATGTTATTACTTAAATTACCTTGTTTATTTATTGTATCAGAAGTTCAACATATCTCCAAGGACACATTCTCCCCACACCCACACCTTGGTCCCAGCACCAAGCAACTCAACATGCAGGCAAACGATGACCATTGGGCAGGGCAAGCTGTGCTTCACAGTTCGGAGGAGGAAAAGACAGGAAGTCTAGCAGCCTAGGGAACTGAGGTAGAATATGGGGCCCTCCAGACATCTTCCACACGCCCCAAGCCTTTCCCCTCATCTGCATCCCAACTCTGGTACAAGGTCAAACATGACAAAGACATCTGCTTATCAACAGTGGTTTATTTTTTCTACTTTAATCAATTTTTTGGAGATTGCCTACTAAAAAAGGTTCACTCTACCTTTTTTCAGACCCTCAAACTGCTCTAATAAATATATATCATCTCAATGACTTTAATATTGGTAATTTCACTATTGATATATGTTGATAAAATCATTAACTTTTTATCACCTGATTGCTTTTATCATAAACTGTTAAGATAAAAAAATTCTGTTACCAACAAATTTCTCTGCATCAAGACAGACATGGTCAGTGCCTAGAGAAGCCTGAGTATCTCACATTAACTTCCGGAAGTCTGGGTTATGTAGAACGCCATTCTCTAACTCTGCTCTTATGTCCTGGGAAACAGCTGCTCTATGAAGCCCCTCAGTAAGATGCTTAGAATGTAATACAAATACATTAACCCCCAGCCTCACTTATATGGGCAGAACACAGACTGCCATTCCTGACAGGATTTACCCCACATGGAACAAACATTCACCAAGGTACTACATTCCCAGGAGAACTTACTAGCGCTAAGTGGGAACCAGGTTTTCAGTATAATGCTACCCAGGCAATCTCTTTTTCGGCTGTGCCAGATGCTCGATCCCAGTGCTCACTGGCCCCACTCCAGCAGCCCCAGGGAAGGAACCGAAGCTGCAGGAAGGGTTCTGTGCAGCCTGAGTCTGAGGGAGATGTGGCACAGCTGGCTCATTCTTTAATCACCACCTAAGCACACGTCCTCTGGTTTGCCCATCAAGTAGATGCAGCAGTTTAATCCACATCACAAGCCCCAGGTCCCACACCTAGACGTTCACATGTCTCAGGGAAACTGGCTGCAATCTCGCGCCTCTGAGCAGCAGCCCGGGCCCTCCAGGGGCAGACATGTTCATTCATAGCTAACACATGCCCGCATTTTCTGGTTTTACCTCTTGCTTTTGTGTACCAGGAAAAGTTTGGGAGTTTAGTAGGGAAAGGGTCAGAAATCATTTCAGCATATACTTTTCAGGTTCTGCCAGGCAACCTTTTATTACATTGAAAAAGCAACACTAGGCACTAGATCTTGCAAAATATGTTTTGACCAATTCTAAACTTTCTGAAATTAAAAATGCATAACCACTGTAAATTTTTTAATGAACAAAAAAGTTAAATACAAACTTTCATATGCAAAATAGATTATTCTAACCTCAGAGCCAAGTACTAAATTTTCTTCCACAATTTTCCTTAGGGTGGAATGGGGGGTGGGGGGAATGTAAATCCTAATGAATACAAAACTTAATTTCAGCTTTCTATATAGAAAAAAAAAACACGTTGAGGAAAAATAGCTTTAAGCTGAATAGACCCTTTTGAAATAAACAGCTCAGGCCAGCCCTTACAATTCTGAGGTTTATCCTCAACCAGATCTGGGGTAAAAATGAAGATTTAGGGTTTAGTTACTTCAAATCCAGTTTCAAGAGCAGCGGTCACCTCATTTCCAGAAGGAAAAGTCTCTAGACCAGGGGTTCTCAACCTGTGGGTCGTGACCCCTTTGGCGGTCGAACGACCCTTTCACAGGGGTCTCCTAAGACCATCCGCATATCAGATATTTACATTATGTTTCATAACAGTAGCAACATTACAGTTATGAAGTAGCAACGAAAATAATTTTATGGGTGGGTCACAACATGAGGAACTGTATTTAAAGGGCCAGAAGGTTGAGAACCACTGCTCTAGACCATTACAGTCTTCGGAAGATGCCTGGGCAGCCAAAATCCCTTGGCCACAGTCCCACTTTCCCGACACCATGCTGGTGCCGGAGTCTCTGCCTTCCCTGAAAGGCAATCAGAGCCCTACACCCCAGCGCTTCTCCTGGCATTTTCAAACCTCAAAAAAAAAAAAAAAAAAAAAAAAAAGACCTCCCGCTTCAAGTTGGCAGTTACTGCTCCAATGTCAGAGAAGTCAACTAACACTTCCTTCCTCCCACCCCCACTGCTTTCCCGCTACATCTTCAGCAGGGAATGGCAGCTTGATTAACAGTCTTTTCAGAAATAAATAGTTCAAACAATTCAGTTAACTGTAAAAGAGCAGCAGAAAACAGCCACTGCCCATTATGTATGCAAATGAGTGAGCAAATGAATACATGTGAACAAACACAGAAAACAACAGCTCATAGAATAAATCCTGCATTTTCCACATTCACAGGGGGGGGAAAATCTTTTTAAAAAAAGTATTAATTAGCGTTTGTTCCTATGTGGGTTGAATAGTCCAGGCTCTGAGCAGGCACAGTCTTACAAACAGGTTGCAAGCAGCCCTCTGCATACCAAGTCAGGACACTAGGGTGCAGGGCCTTCATGCATGTCTGACAGCTCAGTACCTGTGAGAGAACAGGCGATGCAGGGACTTTTAAACCCACAATGCATGAGGTATATGAAAACGTTTGTCCATGAAAGAACCACCAGCAGCTAAGGGACTGGGCCAGGCATTCTCACAGCAACTGCTGATGAAGGATTTCCCACACCATCTTCTTCCGGAAGAGAGGCATCTGGTGCTGCAAAGAATCCACCAACAACATACACATTAACTCACTTGCACAGCATCAATAACTTTTAGGTGAATCATGCAAATAAAGTAAGACGCCATGTCCATTAGGTATGCCTTAACTTTTTTACATCCTGGTGCAGACTTATGAAGCCATGAAAAAGGAGGTTTATAATGTTTATTATTATACTAGTGGCCCGGTACACTAAATTTGTGCAGGGGGGGGGGGGGGTAGGTGTGTGTTCCCTCATCCCGGCCTGCACCCTCTCCAGTCGGGGACCCCTTGGGAGAAGTCCTACCGCTGGTTTAGGCCTGATCCCTGGATGGGCCTAAACCGGAGGTTGGACTTCCCTCTTGTAATCTGGGACCACTGACTCCTAACCACTCACCTGCCTGTCTGCTTGATTGCCCCTAATTGCCTCTGCCTGCCTGCTTGATCGCCCCTAACCCCTCTGCCCGCATGCCTGATCACCCTTAACCTCACTGTCTGCCTTCCTGATCACCCCTAACTGCCCTCCCCTGCCGGCCTGATCTCGCCTCAACTGCCTCTGCCTGCCTGATCACCCCTAACTGCCCTCCCCTGCTGGTCTGGTTGCCCCCAACTGCCCTCCCCTGCTGGCTTGATCTCGCCCCTAACTGCTCTCCCTGCTGGCCCGATCGGCCCTAAATGCCTCTGCCTGCTTGATCACCCCTAACTGCTCTCCCCTGCCGGCCTGATCTCGCCCCCAACTGCCCTCCCCTGCCGGCCTGGTTGCCCCCAACTGCCCTCCCCTGCTGGCCTGATCTCGCCCCAACTGCCCTCCCCTGTAGGCCTGATCGCCCTTATGGGCTTCTGCCTTGGCCCCCACCACAAGGGTTTTGTCCAGAAGTAAGTCCGGACGTCCAGAAGATGCCCGGGTCGACCCGGTCAAAATAAACATATGACCCTTTTAGTAATAAAGCTACATTATATAGGATAGGATTGCTTAAATGCGGGGGGGGGGGCGCGGGCCTTTTTCATCAGGAGGAGATGCTTTTGGCAGACAAAAATACATAACCCCTATGTCTGGACTGATAACCAGTCGTATGCACTATACTGCCAAACCGGTCATTAAAAAATTGAACGGCTTTCTTACACCTTACACCAACCAGCTGTTGCCCTTAAAACCCCTCATCAGCCCCCCACCTTAGGTTCTGCCTTCACAGTTCACCCAGATTAGGTTCTGATTGGTCGGTTTCTATGCCAGTCAGCATCAAAAGCTCCGCCTCCTAGGCAGCCATTGGCTCCTCACACTTTACCCAGATTTGGTTCTGATTGGTCGGTTTCTATGCCAGTCAGTATCTCCAGGCCTATCAATGGGCCTGATCAGAGAGGTGGGGCTGATCAGCAGCCCCAGCAGAGGCCCAAGGGAAAGAGAGTCGCAGCTGCTGGCCGGGCGAGAGAGAGAGAGAGAGAGAGAGAGAGAGAGAGAGAGAAAGAGAGAGAGAGAGAGAGAGAGAGAAAGAGAGAGGCAAGTGTTCATCAACTGCTGCCACGGAGGCTATGGATTAGATCCTGCTTCTCTCTCCAGGCCTCTCTTTGGGCCTGATCTGCAGCCCCCTCAGCAGTCAGTGCTGGGTCGGGGCGCCCACAGCGGTGGCAGTGACTGACTTCCTGTTGGTCGAGCCTTTGGTCGTTTTGGATGTTACGGACCCTGGGTTTTTATATATTAGGATGTATCATTAGTATTTTTACATGTTAAGGAAAATTTGCAGAATTATACAGTAAAGTCCAACAACCTCATAACAAAAATGTGTACCAAAAATGGGAATATCCAAGAAGTGGCACAATAGATAACTTTTTCTACTTATATCTTTTTTTCAAAACATTCTAAAATTAATATATTCTGCTCTCTGAGAAAAACATGAACTCTAAGTAAAGAAAAACAACTCAACAGATTTCTTTATGCTCTACCAAATGTTGTGCATTGCCAATACTGTTCAAACAGCAACTTCTCCCCTTCAAATCTCATGTCATTAGGCTCAGAACAAATAACCACTTGTTATTTAAAAGCATCAAAAAATGAGATTCTTTGCTTAATGTTATTTTGCTTTAACTGATAATCACTACATGGGGCAATTTTCAAAGCAGCAACATACAAGGTAAATCCAAAATAATCTGTAACTCAACTAGTTCTCTTTTAATGAAATCTGAAGTTACGCCCTTGAGGTATTCCTGGTGTCTCATTATAAATAGCTGGATAGCCCTGACCGGTTTGGCTCAGTGGATAGAGCGTCAGCCTGTGGACTGAAGGGTCCCAGGTTCGAGTCTGGTCAAGGGCATGTACCTTGGCTGCAGGCACATCCCCAGTGGGGGGTGTGCAGGAGGCAGCTGATCGATGTTTCTAACTCTCTATCCCTCCCCCTTCCTCTCTGTAAAAAAATCAATAAAATATATTAAAAATAATAATAATAAAGATAAGTAGCTGGATATACCCCTTTACTAGTGATTTCCCACCTGGAGAGACCTAAAAAGTCTTAAGTCATGGATTTGTATTTTCTTTTCTTTTTTTCTTTCTTTCTGGATTTGTATATTTTAAATAGCTCAAAACATGTAGTAAAAAACTGTACATTTATTCTTAGTAAAAGTGCTGAAGCTCATAATAAGTGCCTTTATTTAAGACTGGAACAGTATTAATTCCACATCAGAGCCCTGGTTCTTTCATGTTGCCCCAAAGCTTGGAATGGGGTTATCAGTCCTACTAGTCAATAAGTACAGTTTGGTAGACAACATCTATCAAAATGAGGTGTGGTTAAGAAAAATATTTTTAAAGGGGGTTTTCTTCAGTTGTAAAAAGGTTGAGAATCCACTATTACAAACACAAATTCTCGTTTCCAACATATTTTAATTTTCACTCAAATACAGAGCTTTGGGAACCAATAATAACTAGAATAGAAGGGAAAAGCAGAATTCATAATTACAGCTTAGACCTGTGGCTTACAAGGCCTGATTTCCCCTTGCAGTTACCTATTCTGACCTGCCTCCTTCAGCTAAAAATATCAGTCATATTCAGAAACTGGTGAACACTGGAGGTGAAAGACAGCATACTGACCCAATGATCATGAAGACTAGGAAAAACCTGAGAGCAGATGCAGTGACAAACCCTCATATTAGCAAGAGTAGAGCTACAGCCAAGTTTACAGCAATGACAGCAGCACAGCTACCATTATTAAGATCTTAATGTGCGCCAGGCACTGCTAACATGCTTTAAGTTTATCTTGTTTAGTAACAAGTGGATGGGGAAGAGTCTTCACTCACCTGAGTAAATGTGATAGGTTTGTCCCTAGACATATAATCTGCATATTTACAAGTAAACATTCCACAATCACTCCCATTCAACTGTTGAGGAATCTCCTAAAATTACAAAAAAAGGAAGGGAAGAAGAGGTAAAATTTCATTAAATACAAACTCCTTTGGCTTTTTCTAAATGTTACTGTGGATAAACAATACTATAAAGGTAAATATTAAACATATACACAATAGACACACACACACACACAATTAGTCTTTATGTGGCATTAAAATCCCAACCATGACATGGAGTATGTGACCCCATAGAAAATGTTTTTCAGAAGGAAATAGAAAAGGAAAGTGAGAGTTCCATGAAGAAACTTTATAAGAAACCAAATTGAAAGAAGGTTTATTACCAAGAAAAGGAATTCTAGTCAGAATTATTTCAGAAATTTATAAATTCTGAAAAGGGCTAAGTGTGGCTCAATCAGGAATATGTCTACAAGACAACTAACCTACTTCAATATTGCAGAGTTAAGCTTCTCCTCCCTAGAGGAGAATAAGACTACTGCTCTGGCAAGCAGGGGAGGATTAAAAACAAAAAACAAAAAACAAACCTCTCGAAACAACATAAACTGATAAACAAAAACAGATCCAGAGACAGAGAAGCATCGATCAGACCATCAAACCTCAGAGGGAAAGTAGGGGAGGGTGGGGGTTAGGGGGAGAGAACAACCAAAGGACTTATATGCAAGCATATAGGCCTAACCAATGGACACAGACAACAGGGGGGTGAGGGCATGAGAGGGGGGGATGGGGGTAATGTGGGGATAAGGACACATATGTAATATCTTAATCAATAACGGAATTTAAAAAACAAAACAAACAAAAAAAACCTCTTGTAGGCTCTAACTAATTAGGAAACCTTGCCTTGCTGCTCAGTTCTGTGCCGAAGCAAAAGGGTATCATAAGCCCAAGTGACATAATAAACTCACACATTCCCCAGCCCCGTTGCACTAATCTGGGCCAGCCCCTCATACACTTTGGCTCTGTTATAATGAGCACAAGGTAATAAGAGCATAAGAGAGTCTGATTCCACTGCTGGAAAACATACTAGATGAAAACAGCTCAATTTTTAGTCAAAGAAATACAGATGATTATTGTGGAAAAATTGTTTAAACATGCACACCACCCATACAGATGGTAGGTACTTCTCACTTTTCTCCCAAGCCCAGCATCTCCTACAGACTGGAAAGAACTATAATTGCCAATATACAAATAAAGACAACTTGTTTTCTTTGTTACATTTCCCAGTACACGGTTTTCATCCTAACAGACTTCTTGTATCTGTGCTCTCCTCAGGAAAATTTAAAGCTTACCTTTCTAATTATTCAACTTAGAAACGAAAATGCTTTTGGCCAGGTAGACACAGGCTAGGGCTAAAACTGAATTAATGTACCTCACTTTAAAAAGAAGCCATTAGGACTCAAAGATGTACACTTTTTTCAACCCTGAATGAGATTCAAACCTGGCAAGACCCAAACACATTCACAAACAGCATAGAACTAAATATATAAAATGTCAAGGTAAGTTTTGAACAAGAACTTCACATTTTCATTAGGGCCTACCAAGACAAGTAGCTGACCTGAATTTATTGAGGTTTTTCTTTTCTGCTTTTTCTTCAATTTTTTGAGACATATGAGCATGTAGATAACATTCATAAGTTAAGCAAGAAGATAAAAGCTAAGAAGCAAACATCTTGGTTAAAAAGATTAAGAAGTAGATCATTCATAAGATGTACACACACTTCAGGAGAATGCATGCCTAAGGGTGAGTGTGAGGGAGGGAGGGAGGAGGTCAAGCAGAAGTAATATGCCTCTGACAGTAAGTGCAACGAAGTACGTGAAATACAGATGCTCAGCACTTACATGTGGCTTCATGCTGTAGTGCGTCCACTCTAAAAGATTCAGATCAACATTTCTTTTGGTCTTACTTTCATCCTGCAAATACTGACTAAAAAACAAGAAACAATGTATTGACAAACCCCTTAAAGACAACATTATAATTACAAAGGACTTTGTGATGTTTAACAGATATGCCATTCTCAATCCCATCTCCATTAGCTTTTGGTCTTAAATTTTAATTTTGGGATTCTTTTCTGCTTACAAAAATTGTACATGCTTATTTTCTAAAAGTTAAAACATATAAATGTAAAATGAAAAAGACCCATAATAACCACTTCAGAATTATTATTAATAGTTTGCTGTAGCTGGCTGGTGTAGCTCAGTGGTTGAGCATCCACCCATGCATGAAGAGGTCATGGGTTTCGATTCCTGGTTAAGGTACAAGTCCAGGTTGTGGACTCATTCCCCAGTGCGGGGTGTGCAGAAGGTATCCAATCAATGTTGATGTTTCTCTCTCATAGATGTTTCTCTCTTTCCCTCTCCCTTCCTCTCTCTTTAAAAGCAATAAAAAACTTTTTTAAAAAATCGTGCACGTCCTGGCTAGTGTTGCTAAATGATTAGAGCATCGGCCTGCACACCAAAGGGTTTCTGGTTCAATTCCTGGTCAAGGGCATGTACCTGAGTTTGCTCCCCACCGTGCAGGAGGAAACCAGTCGGATGTCTCATCAATGTGTCTCTCTCTCTCTCCCCCCGCCCTACCTTATACTTCTCTCTGAAAAGCAATGGAAAACATCCTCATGTGAGGGTTAACAAACAAAAAAAGTTTGCTGTGTATTCCTCTACTCCACCCCGTACACACAATTCAAACATACATTTTAGTCCCAGTCTGGTTGCTCAGTTGGTTGGAACATTTGTCCTAAACACCAAAAAGGTTTCAGGTTTGATCCCCGGTTGGGGCGCATCTGGGAAGCTACCCATCGATGTTTCTCTCTTACACGAATGTTTCTCTCTCTTCCTCTCTCTCCCAACACCTATGTTTCTTTCTCTCTTTCTCCTCTCTCTCTCTCTCTCTCAAATCAAAAACAATAACATATATTTTATTCTATTAAAAAATGAACTTCATTTTATAACCTTTTTTCTCACTTAAGGACAGATATAAAACAAAACAATTGGCTTGGACTTTTAAAAAAAGATACAAAGCCAATTCCAATGAAAAACAAAAAAAAGGCAGGAAGACTATTCTAAATTAAAGGCGACTAAAGACATAAAATACATGCATGAACCCTGATTGGTTTCCTGGATAAGGAAACAAAATCAGAACATGGACCACATACTACATTAAAAAATACGTTTTTATTGATTTCAGAGAGGAAGGGAGAGCAAGAGAGAAACATCAATGATGAGAATCATTGACCAGCTGCCTCCTGCATGCCCCCCACTGGGAATTGAGCCTGAAACCCAGGCATGTGCCCTGACAGAATCAAACTGTGACCTCCTGGTCATCATTCAGAATAATGTTATCAATCCCAAATAAATCTCATTCAAATCCCAGGATTCTAATAAGATATATTTTACATTATAACAAAAGACAAACTTGCTTTCAATGATGCTACTAAACAAGACTTCTCAGTTAAGATCAGATATTAGGTTATTTTTAAACAAAAGAGTAGGTTCAAGTTAAGTCCTGAACAACTGGGAAGATAGCCTTGACTATACATTAGACTACAGGATTAAACTGAAGACAGATCACCTACCAAGGGCATAATGAGATAACAGGGAAGTTTTTTAGCCTTTACTTACAGGAGAATTTCACAGATCCTGTTGCCCTTCTGTCCCATAGAATCCAGATATTTAAGACACCTTTTTCTTAGGTCTATCACCTATAATGGAAAAATGCAACATACAGAAACAATCATAACAGGAGTGAGAATCTTATTTCTAAAAAAGAAAAGCATCTTTTAAAAAAGTCAATACATGTACCAACATGAATGGATCTCTAAGACACATTTTTAATAAACATCACAGATGAGCTTCATTTCTATAAAACTTGACTCTTCTATTCCTACAGAAAGGCTTAGAAACTCAATCCCCAAAACACCAGTGGTCCTCTCAGAGTAATGAGATTTCTTTTTTGCTTTTTTCTTTATACCTTTACTTTTCTACAACTAACCTGTACCATCTTGTAAACAAAACTAATAAATGACCCATGTGTACTAAAACTCTTGCCTATTAAAAATGAAAGCTACTCAGCAAAAGCAACTCTCTTCTATCTTTCTAAGATGTTCAACTCAAGAACCAAGAAGGGATTCTGCAGAGTATGCCTTTAACATATAGTATGAACTTTTCACTGGACAGAAAAGGGCAGCCTTCATTATTTACGAAAACGGTCATTATCCAAACTCCAACAATTAACCCTCTCGACTCACCACCAGGCTCCAATGTACCTTCCGATGAATAGGCACCAGAATTAGTTCCTGTTCAAAGAGATTGACCCCTTTGGTCCATCTTTTCACTGCTTGGTAACCCCCAGACTTTAATTTGGGGATAGAAGAAAGTACTGAATGCATGAAGTACTGGATAGCCTTGTTTTTTATTTCTTTCCACGAGAAGATTCATGTAAAAATTAATGACCTGTAACACCAAGAGTAAGCATTGGAACACGGCAAGTACATTATCAAAACTAAGTTTCTAACCTAACTGAATTCAGATTCATTAGACGGTAAGAAGCCTAGCGAAGGGAAGGTACCAGAGAAGGAGATAAAAGAACTCTCCATGGCAGAAGATGAAATATAAAAATAATCAGTATAAAATGGGAGGAACTAAAAAGGAATGAAATTATACTTTTGAGACATATTAGTAAGAGAGTCAAGAGAAGGAACTCAAGAAGGAAGTCTGCAATAATGAAAAGGAGTATGTAACCGTATCACAAAAAAATATGCAGAAATATTAAATGGAAGTAAATTTTGCTATATATAAATTATACCTCAATTTTAAAATATTAACTCAAAGGAAATATACCAAAACATTAATATTTTATTAATTTTTTAGTGGTGGCACTTCTTTCATTTTTCCTGTATTTTCTAAATTTTATGTAATAAACATGTTAAATTATCATGTGAAATAAAACATACTAGTATTACAAGAATTTGTTTATATATAGTCAGTAGTCATGGGAGGGCGGGCAGGAAGGAAGGCAAAGAAAGAAAATGTAGGGACTGAGCAGTTGGGTAAAGGACCAACTGGAAAATTGGCAAGAATTAAAAGCTAGCTTTAGCTAAATATGTAAGGACACAAGATGACAATTAGGTGAATTTTTGCAGTTATCACTCAAATGAAATAAAGAAAAAGACATATAGTGTACATATAGTGATCAATATATCCCTTTATTTTAAAAATTAAAACAGCTCCTATAAAAATATCACTTGCTGCTTTCTTCCATTCATCAGCTGCACCTAGGGTTTATAAAAACATCAATGAAGACTAGTGAATGAAGTGGTGGATGAAGTGAAGCACAGATGCAGAACAGGGAAATAATGCCAATTAAAGGCAGCAAACAATCAGAATGAACCATCTCTCTAAAGTCCAAGATGCTTTTGTTGTAGATTAAACTAAAAGTTGCTTTACCAAGCCCTTATAACTGGGTAGATACCACTGTGGTTATGGATAGTAACTGGTCAAGCATAACTTACTTCATCATTGAGCCAGTGAAAGTTCCTCAGGGTCTGGATGTCCCCTCGAGTGATGCGCAATTTGAAAGCACTACTTAGGATCTCATCCTGTGGGCCATGGCCCAGGGCGTTACTGATTTCCTTTTCCATGTCCTAAATTAGAAAGTCCAGAGGTTGCTACTTTAATATAAAGCCACTATCAGAGACTGAAAAGTCTGAGACTGAAAAAGCCAATTTCACCTCTGTTAACACCTGACCCTTGAGAAAATATACCACAAAGACCTACTAAATTAACGTATGAAAAGATTTAAACTTAGACTACAAAAGTCTTACTAATGGTTATAAAAAATGCTAGTTGAATTATTAGCTTCTGAAAATAATTTGTTAATATTATTTACATTTAAGGTAGTCTCAAGTATCCCACTGCCATTTATTGAGCACTATGGGCCAAACATGGTACCAGATGCTTGAAGCACATCATTGATCCCTGCCTCTGGGGAAAATAAATTTTATGGAAAAGGCAACACTCACAGAATTTAGGTTATGTGCTCGAACTCATGGATTATTAACAGGCAGAGCCATGATTTGAACCCAGGAGTGGCTAACTTACTAGCCTTTGCTCCTTTCAAAATACTTTATTAAGAGTATCTTCATACTTTCTTTATTTCCCTCCTAAACTATTATTTAACTACATCAAAGTAATAAAATTAGGACACCTAAGAGATCACACTATTCATCTTGGATATGAGAGTAAGCAAACAGGCAGAAACTGGGAAACTAGGCAGCAGTCTAACCCTGAGTCCTTAGTGAATAGATGGTTTCATCTAAAAAATTATGCAGATAAATACATATTTAAGCTACAAGACCAAATCTATAAACCCAACAGAAATTATTTCAGACCAATATTGTTAATATTGCTTGTCTCTACTGCACACAATTTTGTAATTTTATGGCTCTCTCGCCACCTGCATGCCCAATATATAGTAAGTGCTCAAGAGGTAATCACTGAATAGGACTGACTACCACCTACTAAGATGACAATGAAGAAGGAGCCAATAAAGAGTAATAATATATCTAAATTGAACTTAAAAGTTTAAGGAAGACCTAGACTTTAAAGTTTGTACCTTTAACAAATTGAGGATTGAGTTTTAGAAATAAAAGTGGGGGGTGCGGGGGAGGAGCCAAAATATGAGCTCACCTTTAAAATTTTTAACTACCTTCATTTCCTTATTTTCTATAAGTTTTTACTATTTTCAAATGCAATGATCAACAAAAGAATTTTAGTAAACCATAGTCACTTAAAACTGCAACGAACTCATTCCTCATGCCAAACCCATTCTATGTAACCCAAAACATTTTATGGTTAGAGACTATACAAAGAATCCATTATATTCCAAGATATGTAACAATTATGTCTACCCACATTTGTTAAACATTAAACTGATCCCTTAGGTGACCTTCACAGATCACTAATGATCCATGTAGTCAGTGACTGAATAGCCTGTATGACGAATTTCTTTCATAAATTTATCCATATCCTGGAGAAACTCTTCAAAACAGTCACTCAAGTCTTGAATAACTTGGGTTATTCAAAACCATGTCTCTTATTCTGAGCAACACATGAAACAATACCTCTGTAAGCTCAAGAAGATCATCTGTTCTTTTATCTCTCTCTTTGCCTGAGCAATTTTTTTCTTTTGTCTCAAGTGTTGACATTTTCCTCCTGAATAAGCCATTGCTCCCACTGCCCAGGCGGAGTCGGGCTGACACTTCTTCGGACAGGTCAGGTTCCAGCTGGTGTCCCCTCCTCTGATTAAAAAAGTTTCTATATTCTATTGACTTGTTTAATACTTGTATATGTAAGCATACATAACACATGAAATATAAAACAGTGACATTATCTTGAAGGAATAGAGAATTAACAAATCATCATATGAGTAGCTTTAGCATATCTGTTCCTGCAAGAGGGACCAAACAATGTTCAATGTTTTTGTAATTACACACAAAGGGCTTCACTCTGAATCACCAGAAATGGGGAAATCAGAGAAGGTAATGTTCTAAGATTTATGACTTAAGACCATGGCTTAAAACTATAACTTGGGCCCTAACCGGTTTGGCTCAGTGGATAGAGCGTCGGCCTGAGGACTCAAAGGTCCCAGGTTCGATTCCAGTCAAGGGCATGTACATTGGTTGCGGGTACATACCCAGTAGGGAGTGTGCAGGAGGCAGCTGATGGATGTTTCTAACTCTCTATCCCTCTCCCTTCCTCTCTGTAAAAAATCAATAAAATATATATATTTTTAAAAAAAAAACAACACAAAATAAAAACCAAAAAAAAAATATACAACTATAACTTAGGCCAGGGGTGGGCAAACTTTTTGACTCAAGGGCCACAATGGGTTCTTAAACTGGACCGGAGGGCCGGAACAAAAGCATGGATGGAGTGTTTGTGTGAACTAATATAAATTCAAAGTAAACATCATTACATAAAAGGGTACGGTCTTTTTTTTTTTTTTTTTAGTTTTATTCATTTCAAACGGGCCGGATCCGGTCCGCGGGCCGTAGTTTGCCCACGGCTGACTTAGGCCCTACTGGTGCGGTTCAGTGGTTGAGCACTGACCCATGAACTTACTAGGTCATGGTTCGATTCCCAGTCAGGGCATATGCCTGGGTTGCGGGCTTGATCCCCAGTAGGGGGCATGTAAGAGGCAGCCAATCAATGATTCTCTCTCATCACTGATGTTTCTGTCTCTCTCTTCCTCTCCCTTCCACTCTGAAATAAAAAAATATATATATATATATTTTTTGTAAAGAGTATGACTTAGTCGTAAGACTAATTCTTGTAGTACCCTAGACTTTGGTATTTGTATATATCTAAGATGTGAAATAATCTAAAACTTCAAGTTTGCATTTAATTTAGGAATTTTTTTTTTTGGATATGGAATGTTTGCCATTATTATAAAAATATTGGTATTGCTATGGAGATCACTGGAACACATTATTCTGATAACTTATATAGAAAAAATCTAATTAAGTATGAGATTGATACTATTTTCAAGTAAATCTAAAATCTCGACTCTGAAAATAAAGTCCTGAGTATATATCTCTCCAAGAGATGTATGGTTTTTAAAAATTCTCTAAAAGAAGCCAGGCAACACCCATAGGGCTGAGATGGAGGCAAATTAGTCTCTCTTACAAACAAGGTGGCTATCACACAGCAATAAAATTCCAGCAACTCAGAAGGAAGCTATCTTCCTTGAAGTTGTATATCTTCAATGTCTGTTGATTTCTCAAAGAAAACAACAGAGTTAGCAATCAAATTAACATATATCATCTTTCTTTTTTTCATGGGCACCAAAATATTAATAGTAAGTTAGGTGAAAGAGAAAAAATATATAAATTTTAACTAGGGTTTCTACTTACACCTTCATTTTCAAGTCTAATTCCAACTGTCTTCTCTATATCTGAAATTCTACCCTTTGAACACCTGAGGGGGAAAATATAGAGATTACAGATTGGATTATTTTAACCTGGTACGTGTAAGACTAGTTTTAGAAATAAAACAGAATCATTTACAAACAAAAATTGCCTTGAACTATCATCCAAATCCTAACTCACGTAGAACTGCCTTCACTGGTCACATACTAGAGATGCCCACCTTACCACACTCTTTTCTAAGTGGCATCTGCACCTCCCAACCCCTAATGCCTAGGAGACAAAGGCCCACTCCCAAGTTAGGGTGGGCATCTGACACAAAAGCTATGTATATACCCATATATGCTGACCAGCTAACCAGAGGTGAGGAGAGTTCACAATTCTTCAGACATGGTTACTCATAAATATAGCTTATAAGTAAGAAAATAGTGTCAAAAGAAAACTTAGAATGAGCTGAACCAGGTACCTCTTTTCACTCCTCATTGGACATAGAGGTCCCCTTGTTTCAGCAGCTCTATCTGTGAGGATGGTAAAGAAAAAATAAAGTGTCTTCTTTATTAATCAATATATAGCTAGAATTTCAACTTACATAGTCTCCAAAGTATTAAGACACTGACTTACATTGAAATGTTAGAATAAATTCCAAAGACACTAGCCTCCTTACAAATCAAGTTGCTTAAAAATGCATAAATCGCTTTCTTCTTTAAATATAATCTTTAGTGTAAATTGATGTCTGCTCATTTGGAAAGCTATCATTTAGTGTCAAGAAAATTAATATAAGAAAAATAAAGAAATTAATTTTAGGCTCACAAAATATATACTACTATATATAAAAGCTAGGAATTATAATAAAGAGGTATTTTATAAATCTGTTTCATCTTGAAATAACCTTTTAACTAAATTATAGTACTGGGTAAACCAGTCAACACCCTGGGTCTAATAAAGTTTTAAGGTCACACCATCTTTCATAAGTACGCCATTTGTCAATTTTATATGCACATGGACTAAGTTCAGTATATTAAGATAGAGCTAAATCTGGGAACTCACATTGTTTTGGAACAAACTGAGTTGTTCTGACTCCATGACTTTGCTCTTCCCCCCAGCCTTTGGTCTTTAATGTATCCATGTGACATCTTTGAGAACTTAGAAACACAAAAAGCAAAGACGTTCAGATACAAAAGGAAAATCTACCATAAATACTCATTATCTCTGTCTGACAAGCTTCTCTAAACAGGAGTTATTGATTACCCTGAATCATCAAATTACAAGAGAGAGCATGTAACACAGCACCATCTGGGACTAGGATAAAAGGAGTCTAATCCTGATCCTAATATTTCTGTCAAGTTACTAACCTCCAGTTGTTCTATTTGTAAAATTGCATGTTCTCAAGCCCCAGCATCACCCTAACTGAAAAATCTCGTGATAAAACTCAGGTCAAAAGATGGAAAATTTTACATAATACACTAAAATGGATCCTAAAACAACACATTAAAGGCAGGAATGTGAAAAGCAAAATAGGTTGAGGATTTTGCCGACGTGACAAAACCAATAGTTCACGAAGCATACTGCTGTTTTCAACAGTGGCTAGACAAAATGGAGAAAATATTAACATTCTGACTTACTACACTAAGAGAATTAAAATTTTAAAAATTCACAACCAAAATTAAAATTCCCAGATATTTCTTTGTTATTTCTGCACTCAACCAGCTAATCTTGTGACTGTTTCACCTTCAACTTGCTGTTACATAATTTCTGGGACAGCCCTCTGTGTATTTGCACTTGTTAAAATTATCAAATGTACCTAAATTCTAAGCTCACATATTTTTTGTCCCCTTTTTATAAGGCCAGATATCAACTCCTCCTGCCATTCTCATCTATTTGCTCAAATCATTAGAGTATTAACAAAGAGTCTTATAAGAAAAACTTCTTATGACCTGTGTGACTTTAATCTTCTAGCTAAAGTGGAGGGTTTCCAATTGTGCTAAGATGCATCCACTAAGATGCCTCAGGAACTGTGTACATAGGGAGGTAGGGAGGTAGTCTAGCTGCTTTTTCAGCTCTCTCCCAGGATTGCTCTTCACTGTCACCCTTTTCCTTTTTCTTCTGGAGGATCACCTATTGCCTGAGTCCCAAGTCTTTCCATTTTGTATTTTGGTGGAGCACCTCCACTAGGAGCTTTCTGGAAAAAGAAAATGCTTGCAAGATAAATTTTGAGTCTTTACAAGTATCTTAATTGATCCTTGAGTTAGGTAGAAAATTCTAAGTTGGAAGTACTCTTTAGTTGAAATTTTGAAAGACTTTCTCCCCCATCTTCTGAGGAGAACTGTTGCTATTGAGAAGTCTGATGATGATACGATTTGCTATTTTTGTCTTGGAAAGCTTTTAAGATCTTTTCTTTACTTCTATTGTTGTAAAATTTAGTGATATTCAATGAATTCTTCCAGTCTGAAGAAGAAAGTTTTTGTATTCTTATTACTTTGTCATTGGTCCTGCTTGATACTTTAATGCTTAAATGGTCTGAAATGATCACTTTGCGGGGGCATCTCTCTCTTCAGGGACTAGATTTCGGTATTCTCTAGTTTGCTAAATTTGTTTACTACTCATCAATTCATTTTGCATCTTCCAGTAAATGATGATGCTATTTCTTGCCATCATATTAATAGTGGCTTTTCTCCTTGCTTAACTAATTCTTTGTCCAAAAAAATAAAAATAAAAATTCCTTTACTCTAACAATTTTA